GACAAACCGACAGACCGACGGATGGTTTCTGATGTGATAAACAACCACCACGACCATGCACCCTCCACCCATTTAGCCCCACCGCCCACACCCTACACCCACACCGTGAGTACACCCACACCGTGAGTCTGGATGTACTGTATCTGTGGATGGCTGAATGAGTGTGAATGTATCCCCTTCCTTCTTCCTTTCTCCCTCTCATCACCTCCTGTATTCCCATCTTCTTTCTCGTTATCCTCTCCCTTATCCCCTCTCTTCCCTCCCCTCACTCCTCCCTTTCCCTCTTCCTTCACATTCTCCGTTCCCTTTTCACTTCAATCCTCCCGGCTCTAATTCCCTTACCCCTTCCCACAACCTTCTCTCCCTCAGTCCCTCCCCTCTCTTACTGCAGAGTCTTGCTTTGTTTTTAAATCAGTTAGCTTTTATGATTCAGTAAGCCTCTCTCTACCTACGGACGAACCCGTGACTGACTGATACCACCTCCTAGTAGTTCCTCTCAGTCACACACACACACCTCGGGGCCTCGTGCACGTGTTGCTCTTGGACACCTCAACAGCACCAAACCTGTACGATACCTCACGAAAGTAGCTACAAGATCACTCCCTTACAAACCAAAGTAAAGAGTTATCATGTATGGTCATTCCTTACACTCCATACACACTAAGTAGCTATATATTGTACAGCACTAAAACAACTACTCCTTTGGGTAGTGAGGAGGAGGGAGGGGCATTGAGGAGGGGAGGTAGTAAGGAGGAGAGAGGGATAGTGAAGAGGAGGGGATGTAGAGGGCAGGGTAGGCTAGCAGAGGAGTGGTGGGGCTGGCGTACAGGGTTAGTGCCCCTCACACCACACGCTGCACTGACGCACAAAAATTATGGTCACTGACACACGTCACTGCTTGATAAGTTACGCCAGGCGCCGGGTGTAGCTGTCTGGCTGAGTGGCTTAATGGCTGACTGGCTAGTTGGTTTGTTGGCTGGCTGAGTGGCTTTTTGACTGGCTGATTGGCTAGTTGGCTGATTGACTAACTGACTGGTTGGCTGGCTGGCTGGCAGATTGACTGACGAGATAGCTAGTTGGTGTGGCGTCACTTATCACAGACGGGACGAAATGGGATAGTTATATCTACGCCTTTTGTGTGGCTGTGTGTGAGGCAGACACACGACACTACACCAAGAAGGGCACAACACAGTCCCTCACCCTTGACCTAATGCTCAAAACATCGTCCCGGGCCACCCTATGACCTCTGACCATTGTAGTCACTGAGATCCTGTGCTGATAACTATGACCTTGACTGTGTGTGTGTGAAATGACGGACACACACACACACACACACACACACACACACAAAGGAATCAACAAGAAGCTAATCCACAGTTAACATTAATTGATTCATGAAAATAAATTGTACTTTTCTGTTACTTTCAGCATATGTTAGGTTAGATTACATGAAGTTAGGCCTATGCTAAGTTAGGTTGTTTGGGATACACTGTTAGGCCATGCTAGGTTAGAATACACTAGGTTAGGTTTGGTTAGGTTAGGTTGAGTTATGTTCAGTTGGGTTCGGCTGTTAGGATAGTTAAGGAGAGATAATTAGTATTTCGCATATATAGACCTGTTAGTGTGGGGGTGGGGGGGTGGGGTGAGAGGGTCAGGTGATCTGAAGGGGTGATGTTGACTGAGGGGTGTCAGGCTGCCTCTTCCTTCTTCCCTTAAGTATGTAAGAGGGGAGATAAAACAGACACACACACACACACACACACACACACACACACACACACACACACACACACACAATAATAGTAATAATAAAAAATAATAATACAAACAGACAAATAGAAAGAAAGAGACAGACAGACAACACATAATAAAAACTGTCAGTTAACTAAAACAAACCAACACATCTAATTAAAATTCCCAGCGTCAAGGACTAACACATACCACTCTGGGGGTCACCCAGCAGCCAGACGGGGAAAGAGGGGGGGGAGATGGGTGAGGTGGAGGGGGAGGGAAAGAGGAAGGATATGAGGGTGAGAGAGAAGGAAGTGGGGATAGGGGGGTTAGTCGAGGATAGGAGAAGGAGTAAGGATAGTGAGGGAAGGGGATAGTAGAGAGGGTGAGGAAGAGGAGAGGGTGAGGGGATGCGAGGCTAGAGGGGAAAAGAGGGAAAGGGGGGGGACAGAAGGAGAGACGAGAGAAAAAGAGAAGAGGAGGAAAGGGGGATGGGTGTAGGAGGAGGTAGGGAAAGGTGAGGAGAGAAAGGTGAAGACGTAGGAGGTGAGAGGGAGGGAGAATGGCTCATGTGCGTGTGTGCTACAGTGCTTCAACACACACACACACACACACACACACACACACACACACACACACACACACACACACACACACACACACACACACACACACACACACACACACACACACACACACACACACACTTGAATAACACTGACATTGCCAACACTTGACGTATACGGAACACAAGGTCGAATAGGTCCCCAATCTGAGATGGACCCCTTATCTCAGTGGGTCCCTAGTCTCAGTGGGCCCCAACCTAACCATCAGGACTAGAACCCACTGGATTTGGGGCCCATTAATACGGGGCCTTATTGTTAGGTTAAATTAAGTTTAGATTACGTTATATGACGTTGCATTAGATTAAAATTAGGTTAAATTATGGGAGATTAGATTTAATTTGATTATTTTGACTTGGGAGGTTAGGTTAACAATGGTTGTTTTTTGGATTAAGTTGTTCCTTAAGTATCTTAGATCAGGTAATATTAGGTTGAGTTAGATTACAGAGAGCTATATTAGGATAAACTACAGTTTGTTAGGTTAGATTAGATTTAGATATGCCACATTAATTGGATTAGATTTGCTTAGGTTAGATTAGGATATGTTAAATCATGTTAATCTAGTTCAATTTAACCTAACTTACACTAACCTAATTTGACCTAATCTAAAGTACCACTAACCTTATTTAAACCAATTTAAAAGAATCCAACATAATGTAAAATTACGTAATTGAACCTGAGCTCCTTAACTTTACCTAATCTTAACTATTCTGTCCTACGCGTGTCTATATCCCATTACTGAGCAGGTGAGGACCTCGCTACGCACGCCTCAGTGACGCATTACGCACAGAAACTGACAAGACCCCTGCAAACTCCTCCCTGAAGCATTTCAGTCTGAATTGCAAGGCTCCTATGCACGCCTCAGTGACGCATTACGTACACTGACTGACAAGATCCCCACAGTCTCCTCCATGATGCATTATGCACTCTGAATGGCAACACCCTTACGCACGCCTCAGTGACGCATTATGCAGGTTGCATGGCAATGCCTCTCCGCACGCCTCAGAAACACATTAAGCAGAAGAAAATTAGCATCGTATTTCTTTGTCTTTCACGGATCACAAGAGAGAAATGATACTCCTTGATCCAGCTGTGACTAATGGGAGCTGGAGAGATCTTTAAAGGCGTAATGTAATAAAGTTAGTAGTTACACAAGTCAACCAATAATTAAAACTATCTCCCCAAATGTCAATTCATAATATATATCCGTGTTTAGTCTCCAATTTTCCCGTTCGCAAAAAAAAAGAATTAGAATGCTTAATAAGATTTTTGGTTCAGTCAATAAGTACTCTATTGAATACTTGACACATTGAATTACTGAGTTGAAAATTCTGAAATCGTTATTAAGAAAGACTATTGTATGCACCTCTACTGACTCCTGTCTTACAAGACTTGAACTTTTGGTAAATTTGCCTTGTCACACCGTTCACTTTTAGCAAGTATAAAATATATTCTTCTAGTGTATTTGTGTGTGTTTAAACCGCATATGACCTTCATTTTTGGCGGAAATTAGCCGGGTTTTTTTAGCGAGTTTTTTTTCGTTTGACGTTTTCCGAAAAAAGTGGCTTAGCGAGTAAAAAATACACAAAAAACACTAGAAAACCCAAAACCTAACCTAACCTAACTTAACTGACTCTCACCATATGAGGGAATCACCTATTTCTTACCTTATTGGCCTGGTTCTTGGTCGTCGTTGCATTCTGGGATTCTTACCCAACGTCACATATGTTGGTCTTTGTGATATTTACACTCAGTCTTGCTCTTAGTACACTTTACTGAAGAACACCATGCCATCGAAAAAACACTATAGTTTCTACGTTTATTTCCAAAAACTCTCAATCAGCTCCATATACTTTAGGTGACATCCATCGCAGACTTCCACGGCCGGAACTGACCTTGAATTTCAAAATACGAGACCCAAAATAAAACTCGATTTTGATTGGGCCAAATATATTCTGAATTAGCAAAACGCTTTTGATTGGCCGCGTGACGTGTACGGGTACGCCTGCGCGTCATGATTTATGAAGGAGACGCGAGACACGGGTGAGAGGCAGACGATAATGGCGGGAAATAATGGAAGAAAATAGAAATTTATTTGGAAAAGCTATTTCCGGTATTATACATTTCCGCCGGTAATGTAATACCTGTAGATGAAAATTATCTTATAATTAGACGTCTTATTCGAATATGATAATATATTAGTGGTAGGAATGAACGGTGTGTAAACACAATAATACCGAACTTTTATACTGTTGTTCAAAAGGTCCAAAGTGCTTTTTCTTTAGGCCTTTTATTTTAATTTATTCATATTAACTTTATATAACTAGCCACCATAACACAATGTTTTTGAATCCGGATCTAAATACTTCACATGTAAACAAATATACCCATTTCTTGAAACCGAGTTATATAGTTAATAATTTTTAAAAAATTAAGCTTAAAATTTTACTTTACTAGACAACTATTAATTAAAAACTATTATTTTTTTTATTAACTTTGTTATTTTATAAGTTGCATGACTAAAAAAAATATTTTTCTATTAACCTGACTCCCTATCACGACCCTGAGTTAAAGCACTCAAACCGAACGCAAACAAACGTGGTGTTGACAACATGTGAGCCCGGTACAGTATATAGTTAACCCTCTACTACACCTTCTGAGATGGGTACAGTGAAGACAATATTGTTGAGTATATTAAGGTATAAGATTATTAATAAAATTAATATTGAGGTGGTGGTTGGCACTGTCTGTAAGAAAACTAGAAACATATCGAACAGAAGCAGGACAGGGGAATCTTGAGGAGGTATGTGGAAGCAAAGACCCCGGTTAGGTTAGGTTAGGTTAGGTTAAGTTAAGTTAAGTTTGGTTTGGTTAGGTTACATTAGTTTGGATATCCAAATACAGGGTTGACCGAAACTATAATTTTACCTCCATTTTTATGTACTGTATATAGGAGGAAACTATCACGGTAAAGATTCTGTAATATGCCAAGGGATCCAGGGGGGTAGATCCCCATTGCTAGGAAGTTAGGTAGGTTTCTTTGGTTAGGTTGGTAAGGTCTTCTAACATTATCTCTGCTGCTTGTTTTCTTATCAACTAAGGTTAGATTAGGTGTAATTTAGAAGTAACCACTTTTTAACACATTTGCAAAAACTGTGACAATGTCCACTGTAAAACACAGTGAAATTGCAGCATTTTTTTAATTGGTTTCTATGAAAAATTGGCGGCAGGTCAGTCATCATTATTTACTGAGACGACATTAACTCGGTCCAAATAGAACCTGACCTAACCAACCAAAGAAACCTACCTAACTTTACCTAACTTCCTAACCGGAGGGCGAAGCCCCGCCTTATTAAACAAAATGTATGGTAAATATGTGGACCTTGACTGTTGCTACTTTGGCAGACAATTTTGGTCTCATTTTGCTCAATATTTAATGCTTAATGCAATGGAGACACGAATTTTTTAGGTCATCCTGTACCACTGTGCATTGTAGGATTTATTGGAGGATCCTAAAAGTGAGATTAAACTAAGTGGAAAATCTTTTTATCCACCACCTCTCAATCCCCACTGGTGCCGGATAACTGGGATTCTACTGTACAGTATTGTACATGTACAGTGGTGTTTGCAAATTTTAATACAACTGTGTGTTTGTCCATACTAGATGTGTATGTAGTTTAAACTCTCAGAAAACTTTCCCCAGTACAGGGTGGAAAATTCCTGAGGATGGGGGTATTTCTGAGTCAAGCTGCTTAAGAACAACGAACTTACCGTAATTTTTAAACTAGACTTAACACTCAAGTTTTTTATATGCCAAATGAACTTTTGTTTTTATCTGCTTAAGGTTTTAACGGAAAAAAGGTTAATTGTACCTTGGAATGTTTTAAAGTCCAGTTGTAATGATAAACTTCTTTTCTATAAAAAGAAAATTTTGTATACTACTGTACCCTCATTTTTTCTCTTACAGAAGTGTGAGTGCTGTTCAATCTCTACAGAGAAAGAGAGAAGTAACAAGTTACTGGAGTTTTAAATAGCATTAGATTTCTGCAGTAACATGTTATCTTACCGCTACAAGGTTTGTATTATCATCATCATCATCACAATTAGAAATTTTGCATCATGTGTTTTTCCCAGCAGCCTTTTGGACAGTCTCGAAATTCCTCTGAACATCACAGACACTTCAGGCAAATTCATGTATGTGGAAGGCTGGCTAGGAACCCACAAAAACCCTTGTGAGTGTTCAAATGCAGGTGGGAAAAATTATAAGACAACAGTCGTGGGCATTGTCATGGTGGGCATTACACAACAGTTGTGTTGATCGTCACTAAAGGGTTAAGGATGTGATTTTTTCCCCTTTGATATTTTCTGAAATGAAAAAAAAATTATACAAGCTAGTTTTTAGAAACCAATGTTAGAATTTTTTTATGATCAGAACCAATGATTATTCATTATTGCTTTAAAGCAGATAACCCGCACCTGACCTAACTTAAATAATCCTCAAAGAGTCTTACTGTGATTAAGTTGGTTTATGTTGTATAAAGAAATAAATGGTTTTTGCAGACCAGTTTGTGTTTTTCTTACAGCATGTCTATTTTGAGCTATATAGTACAGTAGTGTAATGACAAGTCAAAGTTGATTTTTCAAACATAAATATAATAATTATATGGTAGTTAGTAAAGAGGTAAGTCACTGGGAATAAGAGATAGAGCAGCAATCCATATGAAGATAATAATACTGTACTGTACAAAGGATTCAAAGAGGGAGTGGGGGCAGTTGATTTTTAATTAAAAATAAATACTAATAATCTCACTCTTGTTCTAAAGGCACATACAGTACAGTGTCCTAGAGACCTGAAGTTGAGTATGATAACAGAAATCAGTGGTAGCATATGTGTTACAATGATTTTGACATAATACAGTACTGTATAGGTATTGCAAATCTGTTTAAAGGGAATAACAAAAGGTTGTCTGTCTTCCAAAGAATAAGTCTGGCTACAATAATGTTGTCAATCAGGCAGACTCTGATTATGAATCCAGAGTCCATGTTGATCCAGAAAAGGACATAGAACATGACTAAAACAGAAGAATAATCGAAAAGGCAGATTGATATTAACAAAATATTAAAATTAACGTTAAAATCATTTAATGGAAGATTCTAACGTATCCTTTCTTTTTCAGTTTTCCAATCTATTGGGAACTGTTTACAGACATGGTGACATTATCTTCTCCCACGATGGCAATACAGTCATCTGTCCCGTGGGCAACAAAATATCTCTTTATGATCTTCGCAACAACCGATCTCACACTCTTCCTATTGAGGCTCGGTTCAACTACACCTCATTAGCACTTTCTCCCAATGGACTTATACTAGTTGCTGCAGAAGAGGGTAAAATAATTTAAAGTTATAACATGTTCAATACTGCAGTTCATATATGGTATATAAGTAACTGGACATTTCTAATTTTTTACTTATCCCATTACTGTCCCATTCTACATTTGTTTACCCCCCTCCCCACTCTTTCTTAGTATATAGTACAAGGTTTTTCTTTGTGCTCCCGATGATAACAGATGGTGAGGTGCACATCATTAATCTCAACTTCCGCAATGTGCTGTATCGAAAGCGGTTCAATCAACCAATCAAGAGCATTAAATTTAGTCCTGATGGGAAGCACATTGCTTTAACCAAAGAAAATGCAGGTAAGACTTCAATACCTTGTTAACTTATACTGTACAAGAAGTTCTCATTTATCACAAGGAAAACCCTTATGGTGTGTGAAATAGTGATAAACAAACCTAACTTTTTCATAAGCAATGTATTAAGGCAGGTAAGTGTACCTGGCCAGGAATTTTAGAGGTATTTGTGCTGTTGCTTTGTACAAAAACATTTTAATTTTTTTTAAAAACATGAAGTTCTTAACCAGGCCAGAAATCCCTTATTTTTGGCTTATTTTTATCATCCGTTTCCTTGAAGTGCTAGGAGAAGCTGTGTTGCAAATAATAAGCCTTAAGTATGACTATATAACACCTTGATTCAAAGTTTGCAGTAAAATGTTCAAATCAACCACGACCGGCCACAAAGGTTTCTGTATCTGAACTCTCACCATAATATTTCTTCAAGTCTTCAAACAAATTCTTGGGTTTTCCTGAATAATCATACTAATTAGCACATTTCATGGACTTTGATCTTCAATTCATATATTTAAACTTTTTTCTATATTTTCCATTACTCCACATCTGCAATGAGTTACTGTATTTTAGTAGCAGTTAAAGGTGTCACACCTTGAGCATATTTTTCAATTTTTCTCCTTTCTCATGAATTGTTCTCACTGACGTGGAAGGCAGGCCAAAGACTCTGGTGATATCAACATCTCATTTACCAGCATCAAAATGCCTTAACATATCTCATTTAACCTCTAGTTAAAAAAATTTCTTGGTTTTTATCACAAGGGGAATAAATATCACAATTATCAATCGCTGGGTGTTTTCCAATCATTTTACAGAATTTTGATAAGGTTTTAACTCTAAACGAATGAGCTTAAGCAAATATTGCGATGGGTAGACTTACTCTGGGAGAGGATTTGGCAGAGGAATATATTGGTGACGGTAATCAACATTCGAAGGCCAGTGTTGTATAAAAAAATTCATCAACAGTGTATAATGAAACAATGTATGACAAAGTAACATATAGCAAGGTACTGTAAACCTATACTGTACTGTATTCACCTTTAGGCATACAGTACATTTAATCTCAAGTTATTCCATGGTTGTAATTAGGTGAACTGTTACAGTGTAGAGTACTGTCTAAATGTTCTGTGATCCATGGGAATGTGATTTCATAGTGCTGTCGAAATTTATTAAACCAATATTTGTTAATTACCTCCCCACAGTGTTTGTGTACTGTGCTCCGGGCACCAACAAGCGAGTGTTTGATCCGTTTGTTATGGAGAGAGTCTTCCATGGTGCTTATGATGACACAACTTGCTTGGACTGGTCTTTTGATTCCAGGTTAGTTAAAATGCATAACTTTACTATTTTTTATGTTGATATCATTTATGTGAAAGGAAAGATGTATGTAACTGGTGTGAGAAGTAATATTGCATGGCAGTGACACATGGATGGCTAAAGAGGATGACATGCAGGCTTGAGCGACCTGAAATGAGAATTGTGAGGTGGATGTGTGAGGTGATGCTGAAGGATAGGAAACCCTATTCTGAGTTAAGGCAGCAGCTGGATAATAAGAGTATTGGCAAAGTTTTGAGTTGACGTAAACAAAAGATCTCTGGTAGCAACCAACAGTTATTAATCCAAATACCTGATACAGTATCTGGAACACCTCACTGAACCTTCATTTCAACAAGTGTACTTGTACAGTATGTACTGTATATTCTAAATGACGTCCAGTTCTTTCTCTTTTGCTACTTATTTTCCTATTTTTATTTTTGCTCACTGAATAGCTATCTTGTTTACTTTAAAAGTGCAAGTTTTATTTTATTGTACTGTACTCTAATTTGACTGTTTATCCTAACTTAGCTTAATTTAACTAAAGAGTATTGGTTATATAATATATATTTTTTCCCATCAGGGTTCTTGCAATTGGTTCACGGGACATGACAACACGTGTTTGTCCCTTCGGGAAATTTAAAAATCTGCAAGAATATTCCATTGGTGGCAACAAAGACACAGTCATTGCTGTGTTCTTTGAGGAAAAGACTTTAGGTTTGTGTACGGTGAGTAGCTGTTACATTATGTATGTTGTAGTACTGTACATGTCATCCATTTTTTTTTTAATTATAGGCTAATAGTGATCTTTTACATGTATTCTTTACAAACATCTTGCTAGAATTTACCGTGATATCAATTTATCTGACACAACTTGCAGAAGAGTACCATAACAATGTCAAAAGGTGGAATGGCATACCTTTTAGCTGAGGGTTGTGGTCCAATATAACTTTGGTACAATGTTTGACATTTTCATAATTTGTAGTGTCTCAGTGAAAACACAAGGTATAGTACAGTTATTTAAAAATAAGTATCTCTCCACACACGGTGTGAAGCCTTATTGGATCATGGATGATAGTTATTGGGATATGCATTTACTTTGGTATATACAGTAAAACCTCGCTATGGCTGACCCTGCAAAGGCGGAACCCACTTAAGCCGGACAAAATTTATTTGCCAAAAAAAAAAAAAGTTGGACATAATTTGTTTTAAGATGACGTGTCCACCATAAACCACAATTTCAAGGGAGCAAGGCGGACAGACCTCGTGACCCACCCACACCACACACTCGTAAACAAAGGAAGACGCATTATGCGCTCGGTCATAAATTAGCGTCGCTCGTAATAGCAACACTTTTGCTCTCTCGGTCCGTCAATTGTGTTTTATTGCCATATAGGCATGGTGAACTTTATTTTGAAACTCATTTGACATTACCAGTAATGTGATTATGCTATAGGCTGATGTAACATACAGTATATATTTTTGCATTATTATTGAAAAATTAGACAATAAACATGGCCTCTAAGAAAGTGTTTGGTGCCCGTAAGGGTGGTGAGAAGGTTAAGCCTAAAACCTTATCAGGGAACAAAAAGTTAAAGGTGATTGAAAAGCTCGGAAAAGGTGCTGCTCCCCCGCAAATATGCACTGAATATGGAATTTCAAAGCACTCAGACTCAAAGAGTGACTGCAAGCCTCTTATAGTCAGAGGCATGTCCAGCTGGATCTGCCTTACATTTTTGGGGGTAAGTGTACAGTTCTTTGTGTACATTACTTTTTTTTTTTTTAAACATATATATCATTCATGAAAATTGGATACATTGGTGTTGTACTCGTTTTTTGCTTGAAATGGAGTTATTTATTTATTTATTTTGTTTTTAATTTGCTCCAAGGCGGATAACCTCTTATCCCGGACACCCCTCCCTCCCAATTAGTCTGCCTTAGTGAAGTTTTTCTGTAGTTTAACATAAGTAATACAATGTGTATTCATTTTGGCGTAATTAATATGATGTTCGGTTACAAAATGTAGTAGGATCAGTACTAGTATGGATTATAGCTTTTTAAATATATGATTTTTTTTTTTTTTTTTTTTTGTGTCAACAGGTTGGTGCAGATGGTGTTGTTACCATGTGGAACTGTAGTGTTGATCCTGATGGTCTAATCCCTGAAGAAGATCCCTATAAGGCCAAGGTAAAAGAAAAAGAGGAGGAAGAAGATGATGTTCCTCCCACACAAGAAGAAATTGAAAAGTTGAAAATGAAAAAAATTAAAAGTGATGGTATGTATAATGCCTAAAGAGAAGCAGTTTGTTGCCAGTTTCCCCAACAACCTTATTTTCACTTTCTGCCCTTGAGAATTTTTCTCCTTGATGAAAACTGAAAGCTTTAATGTTAGTTAATGAACATGATGAACAGGAAAATGAAAATTTGTATTTAGATATATAAATACAGTTATCTCGTGTGTTATGATTGAAAATAATATTTAATAAAATGTGGTTGGAGGGAATATACTGGTAAGTGTGTATACCTAGCAAAGTCCTGATGCAACTGTACAGATGTGTTGAGATAAACAGATACATAACTCTCACTACTGCATCCTAGGTTTAGTCCCAAGGTTGGATGTGAGAGGGTAGGACCTGACCAAACATCACAGGTTTTCTCTGGGTATTTCGGTTATCTCCTGTACAATGGAAGTTGTAGCAAAGAATAGCTGACTGCCTGAACAGCTAGTACTGTAAGCTCTTGTATTTCGCAAGAAATATTGCGGGAAAATTGCGCCAAATTCAAATACATAGACTAATGGTAAAAATAACAATATAGACTGGCCACTCTTCATCAACCTCTGATTTTTCCATTTATAACCTCCAATTGATACAAATTCTGCCTTAATTGACCTGATTGTGCTTTCTGGAAAACCAGTAATCTTTTTTATCTCATTAGTTTTTAGGCCTTCCTCAGGTAACTTAATCACGCGCTGCTTATCCTGCTTCGAGTACTTGGCAAACATAACTCCCTTACTACAGTCCCGCTTCTCCCTTTCCGTATTGGCCGCTTATGTGGGTCTGTCCCACCAGCACCAGTAGCACCCCCAGTAGAGGTAGAGGTCATTATCTTGACTCGACAAGTGGTAGCACCACCAAAAAAAGCACACAATAGCAGCCCGGGTGGTCAGTAGGATGGCGCAGGAGAAACTGGTATGAGGACTGTGACGTCATACAAGACGGTGGCCAGCTGTTCTGTCTCGTGTCCCATGAAATGATTGTCAAATGGCAATCATTTATTTATTTTACTTATTACAATTATATTTATTAACTGTATTCTTCACATATACTGGTACAGTATAAAGGTGACGCATTTCATCCGGGCAGTCATGTAACTGACTCAAGAGAAGTGTTTGGCTGCTGCTTGTATGCCCTGACGTCACCCAGTGGGAGGAAGAGTGCGGCTAGCCAGTTATCAAAAAACATACTTATGCTGCAACATAAAATATTACAGCGTTCAGCTGGCTGGATCTCACATTCAGCTGACTGGATCTCGCGAGACTCACAATATTTTACACCAAATAGAAGACTTGGTTACATTAGGTAGTGCTTGCGAAATTCAAAAACGTGAAATGAAATCGCGCGAAATATGAGATATTACTGTAAGCACATAAATGGTGGAAATAATATATATAAAAAATATCTAGCTGTCAACTGTGGTACAATACCATTAACATGCCTGGCAGCACCATGCTGCAGCTGTAAGATCTCACTTAAATGAGTATCCTGTAGATTTTCAAGTATGTTTTTGTCTTTTTTCTTAATAAAATAATGTCCTGTGTAATTTTTTGTTCAGAGAGCAATATGGAAAATAATTAAGTAATTATAATAGAGGTGCCTGTATGTAGATATGAGTTAGCACAACTTTCTTCAGCTTCAGGATCAGAATATTATACATCTGCCCGTACAGTATTGGGCTTTCAGCTCCAGCTAAAGCTGCCACTGAACTTCAGTTTTTAATTTGATAAGAATTTTATTTTTTGTTTTATAATTATTATTTTGTTTTATTTAGTGAATTTTATTTGAATATGTAATTGAGGTTAGCTGGAAACACGACGTTTCTGCCATTGTATTTGCCTTCCACAATAAGGCCACAATTGTCCATATGGCTTATGTCTGTTGCTGCACACAAAATAACAGAAACATGTTCATCCCCCCCTCCCCCCAAATATATATATATATATAGTATTGTTTATATACATATAATTTTTTTGCCATTAACAGACTCCCAGTCGATTGAGAGAATATATTACACACGTAATATCCGGCTCTTCTTGGCTCAGCACTTAGCCGCCGCTCAACAAGTGCGTGTAACTGCTGCTCAATATCATAAGTCAACTCGACTGTTAGTTGTTGCATTTGGAACGGGGGATTTTCTGTTGATGGACATGAATGACAAGGGTGCCTTAGTGCACTCACTAAATATATCTAAACAGGTATGTTATCAAAGATTGTTTACTGTAGTTCATAAGTGATTGATAATTATAATGGGCCACATAACTTAGATTCTCTTTTGTGACTTATTTTTAGCTTTTTGCAAGTGACCTGTGAGAACATTACTCTGTGCCCTTCAGAGAGACTATATGATTTAATGACAGGCAAGACGATCCAGGCAGTAAAACTGGATAATTAGAAGTACTATTTCTTATCAATATGGTGCTTAAACCAAATCAGTGGTTGGCTCAAACTTGGTGAGTTTTCAGGGTTACTTAACCAAATGGATCATCTTTGGTTCATTAGCGTATTAGTTACTTGCCGGGTTCTCCTGCTGACAATTCACCTACTTCTCATGGTAAACTATACTGGTGATTCTGTTTTAACCCCTACGTGGTTTCCATATAATAAACCTAGATACCTCACTCTGGTTACCAAAAAGTTAGTTTCTGTTTTTTGCTGGAAAAGGTAGTTAATGATATCTAAAATCATTTGAAATAGTTAAAATGTGGCAACTCCAGTCTCATGTTGGCAGACTCATAGGAATTGTTGTGTAGCATCTTTGTTTCTCGGGGAACCAGCCCCGGCATTTTAAATCCAACTTTGCCGTGAACTCTGCATGACCTGGGAGACGTATCACTCTGAATTTACTGTATATTATTTTATTTTGTTATTTCCATCTTTTTTGTATACTAGACATGTCATTATATAATACTGGATAGGTAGGTGAATAGAAAAATGGAAATCCAGCATATTTTTTTTAATTTACTTACATGTGGTAATTCTAAATGGAATGCGACTTAGAGAGGGGCCACTGCTGCACAGCAAAAATGCTGTACTCAAATATGTAGATATTATTCAATGAGGCAATTTTTAAGAGTCAACCACGTACAGGTTAAGAGGATTATTGTTAAGAATGCACATTGACAGACTGTGGTCTGAAATCTTGCCAGTTTTTGACACTTACCCAAGAAAGGTTCAGATAGCATTATTGGAGAAGAACTTCACTTTATATGTTCAGGTGGTGAAAAGATTTTTCCTATCACCAACCCACTTTTACAGTGGGAACTGGGTATTGTGTGTAGGACATTCAAGTGCCATCTTTGCTGGCAAGGCTGAGATGGCACAGGGATGTGGAGAGAATGGAGGGGACCAATTGGGTCAAGAGATGTATAAGTTTGAACATGGAGGTGGGGGTAGAGCTAGGGGTAGACCAAGTATGACATGGGGAGAGGTTGTAAGAAATGACCACAGTGATAACCTGAAGAGATAGGCTGCTAGAGACTGTGCAGGATGGAGAGCTGTCATCAGGTAACCACTTCTAAACCATGCAAGGATGGAAAATGGCCATAAAATGGTGATGATGATTATTCCAGTTTCCCAAACACTGTATATAGATATAAGGACTACTGAATTTTCATTTATATTGATAAAGTTCTTCCTAGGATGTGGTTGAGAACATTAAAATATGTCTTCTAATGAATGTAAAATATTGTGATGGTAGCACTTTTAGTCTACTTTGCATTTATTCCTTGTCACCACTGACTGGGAATAATATCTATCCATCAATCTGTGTTTATGCTCCAATGTTTTTATGTATTATTTAAAAAGTCATGAAAAGAATTAGTATGAAGAAATTTTGTTGAAAGCTCAGCAGTATTGTTAGGATGTCTACTTGTCATGTTGAATTACTGGCAGGCTGAAGGTTCCTGCCTGTGGTACATATTATAAATACATATTGTGGTGTCATAATTTCATAAACAGGACATGCCCTTGAGGTTCTTTTATTAATTTTATGAATAATATTTGGAACAGAAGAACCATCAATAGGATACATGGTAATTTCTCTGCCTCACCACAGGTCCAGCCAATACATTTGAATACAGTATGTTCAATAAACCTGTAGGTTGTGTTTATACTCATCCTTTTCTTAGCTAGTTTCACGACTTGGTTGAGTGTTTTTTTTTTTTTCTTTTTTTTTCAGTTTTAATTAATTTATTTATTGCCTGCAGATTGGTTCCAGTACCTTCTTAAGTTACTCCTGTAACAATTTTATTTTAAATTTATAAGTATCTTTATTGTTTTTTGTGTCTTGCTTTCAGACAATCACAAGTGTAGCCATGAACCCCAGTGGTGACTGGATAGCACTGGGGGTGTCATCATTGGGACAGCTTGTTGTCTGGGAGTGGCAGAGTGAATCTTTTATCCTCAAACAACAGGTAAAATCTTGACATCACTGTGTATAACATCTCATTTAGTAAACAAACTTTACACATATAATTTATGTGGTGATAAAAATGAATCAAGATATTTTTCTTTACTTATAGCAACATCCATCTCCACAGAGATGTACTGTAAAATTTATAATATTACTTAATTTATATTCAGCTATTTTGTATGTGTTTGACTCAAATTTAATTAAATGTATAATACAGATATTTTTTAATGAAGGAACGGGCAATTCAGTTAGGCTTTGACGAGTGTTATCTGTGGCAATGGAACCTAACCGCCCGATTTCCCATAAGCCTTTACCGGTAGTCTTGCCAAAGCACGGGATTTTTCAGGAACCTAACCCCTGCAGTTGGTGAGGGACTACTGCTTAACAGCTTTTGGTGAACTTAACATAGGTTGCATCATAAGTGTAATTGATGTCAGCTGTCCCAGTTTGTGAAGTATCGTTCAATAAACCAGATAGGTTTTACTGTATGTGGGGAATAAAGGATGCAGAAATTGTTGTGTAGCGAACAGATCTGGAGCTTCACAGTTGGTATGGACATATTGAGAGAATGGGAAGTACCTGTAGTAGATTGGCAAAAAGTATGCACCCTGTACAGGTATAATTCAGAGGTGGATGATGGGAGAAGGAGATGACCAAGGGAGAGATAGACAAATGGGTTGATGTTCACAACAACCCCATACAATAAAGACGATAGAGACACATTTTGTCAGATATTATACCTCTTTTAATGTTTCGTATGATAAGTTGACATACCGGGTAATTAAATTTACTTAGGTTGGTCTATCAAACTCCCTGGATTTATAGCATTGCTTGACCGATTAACTGTCATCTAGTCTAAAGGCTTTTCAGTACCATTATCATCTTACTAAATATGAATCTTGTAGCCAGTGAAATGAGGCAGAACTGGATATTTACATTAATCTAAAGTTAGACTGATTAGTTAATAAGAATACCTAAATGTGGTTAGCATGATTTTTTCCCCTTTTTTTTTCAGGGCCACTTCAACAACATGAGAGTTGTGATATACTCCCCAAATGGAGAGAACCTGGCAACTGGTGGTGAAGATGGAAAGGTTGGTGACTTAGTTTCAGGTCCACAGGTTAATAGTGAATAATATGTGAGATGCTATCCAGTAAATGACTTCTTTACAAATTCCAGAGAGGGCATATTGTTTAATGGTAGATACAATATCTTAGCTGAGTGATTCAGCCAGGTAATGTTCTGCTTTGAATTGGCTTTTATCCATACAGTTGCTTCAGGGCTCTGACTACTTATATCTATTTCTAATAAAGATATCGAGGCTCTATGTCCAGATCTTCAGCCATTTGCCACACAATTATCAGTGCAATAAGTTACCACTTAATAAGTAATATGTATTCATTAGATGAATTCTTATTCAGTGAGACCCATTTTCCCATAGGATCTCATACTATAATCTGAGATGTACTCCATCCCAGAGAATTTTGACCTGAAATTCTAGCCTAACAAGACTAAACATTGTTTTAGTATACTGTACTGTACTGTACATACCAGAATTGAAGAAGAATGCCGAGCTTTGTTGGTTGAAGGTGTGTAGATGGTTAGTGGCGTCTTACTTTCTCTCTCTCTCCATTTTGTTGGTTCATCATCTGTTTGCTTTTAGTACTGCACAGTCTTAGGGACTATTTTAATGACATACCACAACATGGGAGGACAAACCTCTTGTACATTATCAACTTGATAGTATCGCTGACACCAGCCCCTATCATCGCAGCAATGAACTTAAACAAAGTGGAGAATGATCTTGAGATTTACAGTAATATCTCCATGAGCCGGAATCCCTCAAACCCAGAACTCTCCGATAGCCGGAATTTAAATTTTCTCGGAAAATCGTTCCCAAAGCTGGAATTTTCCGTAAAATTCCGGCTTTGGGAAAGATTTTCCGAGGGGCACATTTTCTGGAAAATTCCGAGAAAATTTTCACGATACCCGGAAAATTCCGGGGATGGTGGATTTTTTCCGGCTTTGAGAGAGTCGTCTCATTACCCGGAAATCTCTCATTCCTGGAAGTACTCTGCGCCAATTGTTCGGTTGTATTGAGTTAAAGTTCAAAAGTCACAGCACCATTTAGATCAACAGAACACTCAACAAATAGAATACTGTATACATAACTGACTGTATCCTTAATGGCTGGATATTATAAGTACTGTAGACTTCTGGAGTAAATAACAGCCACAACTGTGCTAGGAAATAATGCCGTAGTTTGACACTCAGCCTGGTTTAGTATTTCATCTGACTCCTTACAAGATATCAGGATAACTCACATATCTGTCAACTCCATAAATCTTTCACTTGTTGTCCTATCAACCTCATCAGCTTACTTGTATAAAGTATGTCACTTAAAACCTGTCATGAATATGGGTGAATAGCGTCTAGTTATGTATTTTATAAGTCATGAGGACAAAGAATCACAGTTATTTAATCCCCAGAATAATTTTCTTTGTTTATTGTGTTCTTTTCATTTCAATACTTACCGTATATAGTTTATAGTTTGTTCTGTTTGTATTACTTTTTTTCCTTTCTTGCAACCATTTGCCTATTATGAAGCAGAGTGACTAAAATCAGGAGCAAACACAGACTCTCCCTAAATTCATAACTATAGTATTCATTTTATGTAACAGTCCCAAGATATCACCCTGATTTATTCCTGTCTCTTGATTCAACTAAGTATTACATAATTAAAGTATAATTTCAATATGTGTTTAATATTGAAATTATTTAACAGGTTAAGATGTGGTCAACTTATTCTTCATTTTGTTTCGTGACATTCTCGGAACACACAGCAACAATCACTGGTCTTACATTTACGCAGAGTGGTCGGGCCATAATATCTTCCTCTCTTGATGGTAAATATATCTTGGTCTTTAATCAAATTTGTATTAATTGGAGTATCTTTAAAAAAATTATTAGTATACAGTAGAAACTATAATCTTTCTTCCAGAATCAACAGAAAACGCGCACATTTTAAAAAATTTCCAGCTTATTCTATCCAGCAAAACACCCAAAATTTAGTGGCTCCTGATGTCCATCTGCTTCCCAGTACCATACAGTACCTGAATTTGGAGTAACACATCAAGCCATTGCATTGACAAAATAAGTGTTGTTTTGCCTTTCTAATGACTTTTAATAAGAGACAATGAAAATGTTTTACTAAATAAGTAAATATTAATACTTTTGAATACTCTTTCTATATATGTATAGGGTCCATAAATCAAGATTTGTAATTTTGGATAATGTTATACTGTACTAGCTTTCTGGAGTTCATACACTTTATTACTCTAAAAACTGGAAAATTCCAAAATCCAACACTACATGTGTGTGTCCTCAGGCACTGTGCGAGCATTTGACTTGATCCGTTACCGGAACTTCAAAACATTGACATCACCACACCCAACACAGTTCTCCTGTGTTACTGTCGACAGCAGTGGGGAGTTGGTCGCTGCAGGTGGCCAAGACAGTCATGATATTTTTCTCTGGTCTTTGCAGACTGGCAAATTATTAGAGGTAAGTAATACAAGAATTAATGTTAAATTTACAATAATTTTTACTTGACTTGTACGTGATAAAATTATATATCCTTCACTTTATTTTCACCACATTTGCTCTCAAACCCTTTGACTGTATGCCTTTCTTCCATATCTTAAATTCTCCACAGCCTCTCATTGCCCACTTTAATACTTTATGTAGTTCCCTGTAAATACTCTCACTAAATCTACAAATATAAAGTACTATACAGCTTTTATCTCCTCCAGGTATTTCTTTTGTATATACAGTGATCCCTCGGTTAACGAGCGCCTCGGTTAACGAGCGCCTCGGTTAACGAGATTTTGGTTAACGATTTACCTTCCATAAGATTCTTAACTTCGGTTAACGAGCAATCCCGCGATTAACAAGTTTTTTATGAGCCAACTTCAACATGTTTTCGCTTGCATTTGGCGGTCCACCAGCTGTAGTATTAGTCCGCCAATACAGTAATCGGTTTTAAGGCTTAAATTCCTTACTATTTTAGTAAATATCAAGAAGTTTATACTATTCAATAATTTTAAAAGTGTAATATGAACTTTTTTAGTCATTTTAACAATTATTGAACACAATTGAAGGTAAAGAAACTAGTTTCTGGCGTGCCATCCAGCCTGTTAACACACCAGACAAGCGTTAGTCTCTCTCTGTTTTCAGTGGAGGTAACATCTTGCTTGAGACTCTCTTCAACTAAATGCTTTTTTTCTGTGTTTCCAAGCAAATTATTGGTCATTTTGAAATTTATTTTACATATTGACAATATATAGTGCAGTGTTGATGTAAAGAAAATAATCTTGAATTACACCAAGAGAACTAAAATTTTATGGGTGAAATGGTGCCATGGGGTGACTTCTCTTCCACTCCAATGCCTTCTCTTCTCCCTTCTCCTCCACCCCCATTCTAATTCCCATCATCATCATCCAGGAGCCTTCTACATACACACCTCAAAGTAAGTGTACTTTTCTACCTTTTTTGTTGAATTTAGACAATTTTCGGTGAGCTGGAACCAATTACCCAAAAACCCATTGAAACAATGGTTTCGGTTAACGAGTTTTTCGGTTAACGAGCAACCTGCTGGAACGGATTGTGCTCGTTAACCGAGGGACCACTGTACCTGGCCTTAAATGTTGTCTCTGTTGTCCCCTTGCAGCATGAACCCAAACTGTATTTTGTTTATGTTTGGTGTACATTCACACAGTACCTTACCTGAAGATATAAGAAATTATTATTATTTTATTTTTTTATTGTTTATTTGCAATTCCTGAAAATCTCACACCATTTTAAAGGATACTCCTACTCAAGTAACATTTTTTATGAATAATACTTTCTTAGTTTATGAACAGCTGCCTTATGTGTGTTGTTGCTGTACAGGTACTGAGTGGCCATGTGGGACCAGTAGTAAGTGTTCAGTTCTCAAAGGAGCCGGGCAGCACCATGATGGCTTCAACAGGGTGGGATGGCACAGTCAAAGTCTGGGATGCAATTGCCAACACAACGGCCAAAGAAACCATTGTACTGTCTTCAGATGGTAAGGTTTTATAAGTACAATATTATATGTCATATAAAGTAAATTTCTTCCAGTTTGTGGTTTACTTATGTAAGTCGTTTGAGTTTATGGTAAAAATTAGTTTGGGTTCCAGAGTCCTAGATATTACCCTAAGCTTCACTTAAACACCTAAAAAATTTGTCATTTTCCAGTGTTATAATTTCTCATGAATGTGCCATCATCTTCTCTATGTTTTTGTTATATTTTCACTTACTGTTCTGCCAAGCTACATTCAGTTATGCAACTTCACAGTGGGTGATGAACTGGATCACAGAGTACCAGAGGGAAAGAAATTCCATAATGGGTAAATTGAGATACATTTGTAGACAGGAATGTTTTAGGTAAGGCACAAATGGGTACAGATATATAAAGTGAAATGGTAAAGCAAACATATTTGTTGGGATTTGAAGCATGAACTCTGGATGCAAGAGGAAGAAGTTAATAAAACTAATACTGATATTCTTAAAAGCAAAGATGCACAAAATCCAGAACACTGAAATAGACTGGCATGTAAAAGTGAAAGGAGTATTGAAAAGGGTTTGCAATAATGGTATTTTTTTTTTTTTTTTTTTGGAATTAGCCCACCCAGGCACAGGTCACTGACCCACGTCGGGGCCTGGGGGGCAAAATAATAATAATAATAACAACAACAATAATAATAAAGAACCACAAAGAAATACAAAATGAAAAATAAAATCAAAAGTGAGGAACAATATATGTATGTTGTGTTGTCAATAGTAAGAGAAACAATTGAGACCCTGCAATTGTGTGTAAATGAGGCAGAAAGTCAGATCAGCAACCTGGGACTTGGTCAAAATTTTCGTGATGCCATGTGGCAGCAAGATCTACCATAGACAACACATTATGCTTCCAATATCTTCCCAGGCGGTAGTACCTCCCTGTTTGGTAGCTGCCTATTACCTACTATGGAAGTGTTGAGAAAATGAAAATGTATGATTAGTAAAAAAAAAAGGGGGGGGGGGTAGGTGACTGGAAGGAGAAGGGAAGACCAAAGTGGAACCAGAAGGATAGGCTAAATGATGCATTAAGAACTGGGATGGACATGAGGGAAACAGTAATGAGTAATTAATGGTAAAGCATGGTATGGTATTAAGTGGTTTTAGGTGGTGGTTGCTGGTGGATATACTGTTGCTGGGTAATGGTGGGTTGTGTGAAGGTACAACGATGTACTGGGTACATATCTTGGTGGCTTATTTTGGAACGGTAACACCATAGCATTAAATATGTTATGGTATTGAGAGTGAATGAATGGTACTGACTGAAGAGTGTGTCTGTGGTTGTACAGGTTGACAACCCTTTATCCTAAATTCCGAAAACCGAAAAGCTCTAAAAACCGAAAGTTTTTTGTGGGGCTTTTTTTTTCTTTTTTTTTTTCTTTTTTTTTTCCAACAGGGATTATTAGCCCAGCCAGGCACAGATCACTGACCCACATCGGGGCCTGGGGGGCGAAAATGTAATAGTAATAATAATTATAATAATAATAATTATTCATAGTAAATAGAAATTTTAATAAAAATACTCCAAAATAAAATAATAATGATTACAATAATAATAATAAAATATAATTAATAATAACAATAATACTGTAATAATAAAATTATAATAATACAGTAAAGAAATACAAGAATGAAAAAATAGATCAAAAGTGAGAAACACGACCTAGACCTATGAATTATTATTATTATTATAATTTTTATTATATTTTCGACCCCTAGGCCCCAATGTGGGTCAGTGATCTATGCCCGGGTGGGCTAATAAAAAAAAAAAAAAACACCTAACCATTCTGAAAACCGAAAAATTCCGAAAACCGAAATGCCTCCGGCCCCAAGGATTTCGGATAAAGGATTGTCAACCTATACTTAATTCTGTCTTGAAACGTGAATCAAAATCTAGTAATTGTAGGGACCTCAATTATTGTAGTTGGAATCTTTTCTTCAGATCCTTGGTGATATTAAATAATTTATCTGGTGTTGTTTAGAGATTAATGTATTTCTAACTTTTAAGAAATAGTAATGATATATCATTAATTTTTATAAAGTTTTTATGTTCCATGATATCAATCTTTTCTAGGAGATTGTGAAACATTTACATTTTTGCAGGTCTTTGTGTGTGTTTCCGCCCTGATGGAAAACAGATAGCTGTAGCTTCTATGGATGGGCAGATCACCATGTTCAATCCATCAACTGGGCAGCAAGAAGGCAACATCACTGGTAGAAATGACCTGGGTGCAGGCAGGGCTGATGCTGATAAAATTACTGCTAAAAAGAATCTTGAAGCAAAGTAAGAATTGGTGTTCAAAGAATTTACTACTGTATAGAAGTGTAAATACTGTGCCTGCATTGCATTTTTTAACTAATTTTTATTCACATAAAACAATGAGGCTATACCAAAAAAAATATATCTGGATGTTTGTCTGTCTGTCCTGATCTGTAAATCTTGTAAAAATGATAAGATCTCTCATAAATTAAAATGTAATAAAGCTTCGTAGAAATGATGTAGTCAAGATATCTGTTGATATTACCTTAGAGTGACCGGACCACTAGAAATGTCACAATCACGGTGGTATAGACAGTTTTTACTAATACTCTCTCTAGAGGTGAACTCATTCGTCCTCTAACTAATTAATGCTAACCTGTCCTTGGTCTATAATGTGGTCTTCTCTGAGCTGCCTATAACGTAGATATACAGGTTTGATTTTTAAAGTTTCCTGCGCTGTCTGAAATAGCCCAGAATGATTAATATAGTTAAAATATGACAAATGGCAACCTCTCAAAATATGGCATGGGTATGAGGCTTCCCCTTTGTGTTGGCCTCAATATTTTTTTCACCATGTCGATACGTTCATCTTACAAAATGATTCCCCAGATTCATAACATTCTTTTTCGACCATCACCTGAAAAATAGTTATGATGAATAAACATGCAGTGACAAATATCAAGACCCAAATTATGTTGCGAGCAGTGATAGCAGAAGTACTAGTGATGATAGTGAATGGGTGCAACCACAGGTAGTGCATTCATCGCCCACAAATTCTACTCTTGGCTCTCAAGATGTTGGTTGCTCTTGGCCGTTTACCCCTAGAGCTAGTAAGAGGCGAATTCTATCAGGGAAAAGAGGTTATTTCAAGGAAACAACCAGCCCAAGGTGTGAGGGGACATGGTCCCTCTGCCCTAACCAGGCACCACACCACTATGTGGCCTTGATGATTCAGAGGAATTAGACCCAGACAACCAAAATATTCCTCCTCCTATACATCAGCCTGCTTCAGGAACCTCTGTCCCTTCTAAATTCTCTTCTAAGTTAAGTGACGCTGTTAGGCAGGGTGTGATAGGGAGACGGAGAGTGAAGTGAGCCGGTCGTGTGGGGAGGTACAGGGTCTTGTTTACTGATCATGGCACCATTACACCTTCCCCCACACAAACTCAGCTGCTCCCTCTTCACCACTTCCTGGTTCATCTCATTGCCCTGCTACTGCAGGTGGTGCTGGTGTTGATATACAGTGGAACTGGACAAATGATAACTTCATGGCTGATGCCTTCAAATTTGACAGAAGCAGTTGTGGTGTCAAACAATGACATTAAACAAAACAAAAAACATCTCCTCCCCACTTTGTTCCTGTTGATTTGTTTGGTTTGATGAACCATGTGGAAATCTTGGATTTATGCTGTGGAAAGGGAACACCATAGCAGGAAACATCTGTTAGATTATAAGAATATCAGTATATATTGGAAGAATCTATAATGTAGGAAGAGGTATACAAGAATAAAAAAAATATTCTACCTTTGGTCTTGGTTATTTGCTCATTTGTTCTCATAACTGTATTGCATTCTTATGTTGAGGAATTGTTGTGTGTAAGGGAGGGGTGCAGTAGTTACAGCACTCACATCCTGTCCTGGTGGTTCTTACTTGGGGCACCTTGAGTCCACCCAACTATGATTGGGTACCTAATACAGTATTACAACTGGGAAAATGAAGGTGGTGGAGTGCCGTGTCTGCCACATTACCTCCTTGTATACCGAAGGCTTAGTCTTCACAATGCAATATCCTCTGCCCCTATTGTGCCACCAGGCTTATAGTACTTACTTTCATTTTTTTTCTTCATATGTTGTTGCTTGCTTGATATTGTGGATGCTTTATAAGTGTTATTATTTATTAGAGTACAGTATTGCGAATTTTGCTTAAATACTTACATAAGATCATCCAGATGTTAATAAGTACAGTACCTGAATTTACAGTTTGGGAAGTAAAAGCAGTTGAATGCAGTGATGGCCACACTGCCTCCTGGTGCTCTGAAGACTTAGTATTAAGTATGCTGTATTCACATTGCCACTAACTGGCTATCAGACCCTTGAGACCCATTTTTACTTTGAGATTAAAGAAAAAAGATGGGTTTTGATTCTTATGAATCAAATTAGCTTTGTATCTAGTAAGTTATGTACTATTCAATATAGGACCCACCTTCTGTAAAGAACAAGGGCAACTAAATCACTCGGCATTGGTATTCATTCATATATCAACTGATACAGTTAAAAAAATCCTTTTCAGAGCTTTCACCTGCTTGTGCTACAGTTCAGATGGCAAATGTATACTGGCAGGTGGTCAGAGCAAGAATGTCTGTATATACAGTATAGAAGATGAACTCCTTATCAAAAAATTTGAAATCACACAAAATAGATCATTTGATGCTATGGATGTAAGTATCTCCAACTATATTTGAATATCCTTATCATTGTTTACTATGTACAGTAGTTACCCATATGAATCTCACAAAACTTGGAGATATATATTTTGAGTCATAGAATAACAGAGGGAAGTTGATTAATAAGTGCATTAAGAATTGTACTGAGAACTGTGTAAAAGGGAACTGAAGTTTGGAAATCGTTGAACTAACATTACTATGTGGAGTGAAACATATACTCTGGAGGCAAGATGGAGTAGAGGAGGATGCAGAGAATAAGATAGATGTAAAAATGAAAATAAGTGTCATGCAGGGAGCAGATCAGGTTGTGCTCCAGTGGTATGGTCATATTTACAGAATGGGAAGTCCAGGAGGACTGAAAAGAGAGTGTAATTCAGTGTTTGTTTGTAGGAGAGATTGAAGATAAAAAATATTTCAAGATAGGGTGAAAGATATGGAAGGACATACTGCTGATGGGTTATTCTGAATTGTGTGAAATGACGGATGTAAACCTGGTGGATACTTTGGGCACATCTATTACAGTACCTACTAAGAATGATTGAATGGCAATGATTAAAGTGTGTGTGCATGCCTGCCTGCGTGTGTTTTTCTTTGTTTTGTCTACTCTACAGTACTGGTATAAAAGGAAAATGCTTGAAAGATTATTATTATTATTATTACAGTATTATTATTATTATTATTAGATCCTAAGATTCACTGTTTCTTTTTTCTTGTTTAGGAAATTATTAGCCGTCGTAAGATGGCAGAAAATGGAATCAATCTTGCACTGATTGAAGATAGGGAAGGTCTAGGCAGTGGAAAAGGAGTATCCATTAAGTTACCTGGGACAAGACATGGTGACATGGCTTTGAGGGCCTTTAGACCAGAGGTCCACATTACATCTCTCACATTTTCCCCAACAGGTAATTAATTTTTAAGTAGATACTTTGCTAAAACTACAACATTGTTACAATAGAATCTCAGTATTTTGCAGGGCTTAGGACCAAACTCATTGTGTTAGAGTGAATTTTGCAGGATAGCAAGAGTTGTCCCCGCTACCCCCTGCCTACTACCACGAATAGGTTATCACTGCATGTTTGTATGTAATGAAAGTATCATAACTTATAAGTATGAAAATGTAATATACAGTTTGTTCTTTGAAATGTTATAAAAGGGGTGATTCCTAGTGAGGTTTTGGTTATAGTAAGAACTAGAAAGACGTTGATGACTGATACTGTGGAGATGTTAACAAAGGTAAGTGAAGACTGGGTATGATCATGTACAGCATGTGAGAATTTGTGTCTCTGACCTATGGACTTAAGATATGTTCGTGGGCAGATGTGATCACCATGGAACAAAGTGCGGAACTGTAGTGCACCGGGTGGCTGCATGGCAGTATGCGGGTAGATGATGCTGCAGCTGACAAGTGCAGCGAGAGATGCTTTTCTTATTCCGTGTGTCAGTGAATTTGGTTGTATGATGGCAAATTTTTTTAGTGTAAATTGGGAGTTGGTCTTAAAATATCAACATCGTTGAAGTGAAATATCGTAAATCGAGACATGGTAAATCAAGGTTTACCTGTATAGTACTGGTTGCTGGAAGGAATGGGGAGGGGATTATTAATATGGAGTATGAAGAAGTTATAGGCAAGAACTGAGCTCTGAGGCCTTTCATCATTGATGGGAAGCTTAAACTTTGTTGTGGTGTCAGAGGTGGTGTTCTTCAAGGGCTTTTGAGTAGTTGTTTGATTTTGACATATTGTGTGAGTGTAGAGGTGATTGGGGAGAGAGTTATGAATTGGTAGTTGGAGGTATATATATATATATATATATATATATATATATATATATATATATATATATATATATATATATATATATATATATATATATATATATATATATATATATATATATATATATATATATATATCATTAGCATATAATTAAGATGAGGGAGTAGTATGAGAAAATTTTATTCCAAAATTCCAAGCATTTCCTGCTATGCTGCAGGGTGGCTAGAACAAAAAGCAAACACAGACACCTTCATTTACTGTCATCTATTCACTCAGACTTCTATAACACCCCAATAAAGAACACAATTCCATGATCTGTCAAATATATACACTGCTACTTCCTAGATGGCAATCTCCCTCACTTCTACTATATCCAATAACTCATTCTTTCATCTCTTTTTTGGCCTTCCTCTCTCCCTGCTTCCATCCACACTCAATGGTACACTGTGTGTCAGTTTTTCACTTTCCATTCTCTTCATAATATGTCCATGCCACTTTTGTAATCAATGGACCAGTTGTATTTATATTGTACACAGCTTATGTGGCACCAAGCCTCATCATCATTTAGTCTTAAGTGACAGTCTTTGCTTCCAAATCTTCCTTATACTGTAGGATGGCGGCAGCAATGGAAAGGTGTTTGATCAGTTTGTAGATTAGTTCAGGCTGCCATTACCTAGGTTTTCTTTGGGGATTTTAACACCATAGGCCTGGTAGGGATATATAAAGGTCTCTTGGTGGGGACTGCCATAAAAAGGTATTTCTGGACTTATCTATTATTTTTGTACACCACAGGGATAGCTGAATGCACAGTAAGTATGTCTTTTTTTCTTCTTCTTTTTTTAACTTAAATTGGCATTTATTCTTAATAAACTCTGACTTGGTTTTTGTCTCTTGCAGTAAGCAGTACTGCAGCAAAGCAGTAAGATTTTAAGTTATGTACAAAAATGACAAGCAAATTTCTTGAAATTTCCTGAATTTTTCAAGGGCGGAGTTGGGCAGCGAGTAGCAGCGAAGGACTTTTAGTGTATTCACTTGACAATGATTGGCTCTTTGATCCACTCAACCTAGACGTCTCCAACACGCCCTCAGCTGTTAAGAACAAATTGAAAGAGAAAGACTACAGTACAGGTAAGATATGCAGCCAGTCAACTAAGTTATCTTCTTCATGTAATGGTTGTTCAGGATGGGAGAAGAACCTTTGTCATTTAATATAATTGTAATTGAATTGATGATTCCTCTGTACTGAACCTCATTGGATTTGTATCCAGCAGTAATTTAGAGAACTTAACTTTAAGGTATTCATTATTATTCCTCACAACACTGATGTGGTATTGCTTATAAATGGCTGCAAGCATGTGTGAACACAGTAACTTTTGTAAACAGCAAATGATTTTAATTCATGGAGAAGATAAGTTATCAGTATTCTCCAACATTCTTTTCTAGACTTACTGGATGTCCCATCTTGTCTGTTCTATATCAGGGGATGGGCCACTTTAAGAAGCAAACTTCTGTTTGGGTCTAAGACAGTAATGTTATATCTACATCCAGTATGCCCCCTTCTCCTGTACAGAATGTTAGCTCATGCAAAATTAACTCCAGACAATAATCTCTATAGAAATCTGTATTGTGATAATGTGGCTCATTTAAAAAATCCTGACAGTTTCATATCAGCAAATATGGGAAGATATACGGTGGAGTCGCGATAATTTACGGATTAGGTACCAGAAGACATTGTGGATTATCATATCATTAATTATAATCTAATTAATTTAAGTGGAATTAATTAGTTTGGTTCCAGAGGCCAAGAAATGCCCATAAACTGTTTGAAAACTGCCTTAATAAACACCAAACATCATACAAAATACATAAAAAAAAAAGTTACACATATGAGGAGCACAGAACCAAAGTAGGAAAAGCACTGTACAGTACATGTAAATAAAAAACAGAAAAAGGCCGTTATTCAAACCTTCAAATTACCTTAACTTTGGAAGCAGTGAAAATATTGAAGTGATTCAAGTGAGAGATTGTAGCAATGTTAGTGACAGATTTCATTAATATTAGTGAAAGACATTATATGTATTGTTTTGGGGCATACCGGCACTTGTCCTACTTCGGTTCCGTGACTCATAATTTAGTACTCCTTAATAACTAAACATCTCCCTTGGTAGTATTTAATTGGGTGCTATGTCACTCAAATATCTATTTTTTTTTAATATTGTAATGTACTGTAATTCATAGTACCATAAGTTAAGCTTAGTCTTAGCTGTATTATATAAAAGTATTAGACTTTATAGAGCTGCATGTTATGTTTGGAGTATATAACTACTGTACATACTTTGAGTAAGTACAATAATTTTAATCTATAAATCATAGTTTATAGCCTAAGCTTTTTTTAGAATGAAATTATATGTCCACATTTAAATTATGCTGTGCAGCCACACACTGCCAACTCATAAACGATAGTCAGAAACATTGAATATTCTCATAATCAGTATACAGTACTATACCTTTTTTTATGCACTTTGATTATTCACTTCAAAAGCATATGCTGATATTATAACATCCAAAGCATATCTAAAATGAGATGGCATAGGCAACTTCATCACAGATTAGGTGTCGGTGATCAGCTGAGTGAGTCACTGTTTATGGGCGAGGTCGTCACTAAATGGTAAGTTATTGACTGTCACTCTGCCCCGCTGGAGAGGGAGTGTTCAGGAGCACTCCATAAAAGACATGGAGAAAATTCGAACACCACATTTATTAGCATTCATTCAACTGTAGTTGCACCTTGTGTCCTATCCAGGCTTGGTTATAAACCAAGAATTCAGGATCAGCCTCACATTTAATATGAAATCATTTTTACTTGCAGCTCTAATGATGGCAGTGAGGTTAAATATAAAGTTATTGAAGCAGGAGGTTATTGAGACCATACCCTTAAATTCAAGTAAGTATTAAATATGATTTTATTGAATGTCATATACTGTACATAATGAACAACCAGGATGTAACAGATTTAGATACTGTATAGAATCTAAGTTATTACTCTCTGGAGATGACAGAAGAGTTTGAGGTGTGGGATGGAAATATGTCCTCTTTTTCTGGTTTATTTCTTATACAATTATGTTTATATCCCTGCAGTTTTGTTTCCTGTAATGACATCATTTATAGTACAGCAATTCCTCGCATTTCCTTTTTTAGAAAGTTTAACAGGTAAAAACCCACAGTAAATATGCAAAGCATGACTAAGTCTTAACCAACTTGGCATTAATATCAACACTGATGCTGGTGGTATGCAGGAAAGTGGTAGGTGTTGTGTCTCTATCAACGCTACCTAAAGTTGTTTTTGCATGTTATCTTTAAATAATTCATTTTTTAAATACAGTGCAGAACAGGTACCTGTAAGCAAATTTGCATAATACACATTGCTTGTTTCAAAGGTTTGTTTACAATTATTCAGCCCATTTTGGGAGGATGGTGATGAGATTTGTGTAATAATGGTATTGGGACAGAGAGCCTCCACAAGGTATATAATAGTTGGGTAAAGGTTCAACAAGTATACTGTACCTGGTTGCATTTAGATTAGTTTTGTAGGAACACACCCACTGGGAAGTGCATATTGAGAATCGTTCTTGGGGGGTAATAGTACTTCTGATCTTCTTCCTAGCTAGCGTTAGTGTACAAAGTTGCTCAACCGAAGACTTATAATTAATGATCCAGAAATCCTATTTAATAACCAAATCGGCATTTAATAATTATTTGTCATCTCTCCCTCAACCCTTAGGGATGTTAAGGTAATCTGGATGTAAAGGGTTTTCCTGGACAAATGCTCTATAGGGGACATAAGCAAATGGATGACTGGGTTAGAGCATGTTGTTTTTGGAGTTAAACCTCCATTTTTATTTGGTCTTCATTAGTGATCCAAGGGTTAATAAGTAACTGACATAGAAAAATTAATAAATATATATTTTCATAATGCTTTACATTATATAATAGTGACTAAATACTGTTTATTTTTTCAGTTAATTTAGTGGTTAGCAGTCTGCCACAAATCTATGTAGAAAGGGCTCTCACCTACCTGGCTGAGGCCTTAGAAAGCACACCTCACATTGGTCTTTATACTAAGTGGGTCACATCACTTATCACTCAGCATGGCCAGACCATGAAGGCTCGAGCACCACACATAATGAGCACACTCAATGGTATCCAGAGGGCGCTGTCTACGCATCAAACAAATTTAAGTAAAGTGTAAGTTGATTTTGATAACAGCTGTATACTGTACAGTATTTGACTTTGTCTTTGACAGGACTCACTTAACTAATTTTGAAAGACAATCTTATTTCTCTGTTGGTTCGGTGTTTAATTGATAAGTAACCTATGAGAACTCTACCACTAAAGACCCTCTCACACTCCACCAGAGAGGGCATACTGTACAGTTTAGTAACAGATCATGAAAATTGCTGCAAGTAACATTTTTCACTCAAATGATTTTAGATCACCAGATTCCATGGGTCGATAGATTCATTATAGAATAAATTTAATTGCTGAACATATCCCCCAAAAGTAATTATTAGATTTTCAGCAAGCACCAGTAAATCAACATTATACTGTACTAGTGGGAGCTAACAGCAACACAACATTAATCCTTGGTGCACCTTAATCCTCATGGAACCTTGAGTCAATTTTTGGTTCATAGAATCTGAGAGTCCAGAATTATGTGCGTGAAAAATGTCCATTTTGAGTGCTTAGTGTTACAGTCCTCACAGGTCACGCACTTCCATCTCTTAAGTTTTTTCCAACAGAGGAAACAGGTGTTCAAGGGAAGTATAAATGACCTAAATAATCTTTTAGAATTTGGGTAATGTATATTAGAAGTGAATGGCTCTATCTGCCAAGTCAGGAATATTACTCACCAACAGAAGAGGAGTAATAGGAGCAATATACAGGGAGGGGCACCATGTCTTAAATAGGTGCACCAGCCCTCTTACAGGTGCACCAGCCCTCTTACAGGTGCACCAGCCCTCTTACAGGTGCACCAGCCCTCTTACAGGTGCACCAGTCCTCATACAGGTGCACCAGCCCTCTCACAGGTGCACCAGCCCTCTTACAGGTGCACCAGCCCTCTTACAGGTGCACCAGCCCTCTTACAGGTGCACCAGCCCTCTTACAGGTGCACCAGCCCTCTTACAGGTGCACCAGCCCTCTTACAGGTGCACCAGCCCTCTTACAGGTGCACCAGCCCTCTTACAGGTGCACCAGCCCTCTTACAGGTGCACCAGCCCTCTCAGGTGCACCAGGGTGCACCAGCCCTCTTACAGGTGCACCAACAGGTGCACTCTTGCACCAGGTGCACCAGCCCTCTTACAGGTGCACCAGCCCTCTTACAGGTGCACCAGCCCTCATACAGGTGCACCAGCCCTCTTACAGGTACACCAGTCCTCATACAGGTGCACCAGCCCTCTTACAGGTGCACCAGCCCTCTTACAGGTGCACCAGCCCTCTTACAGGTACACCAGTCCTCATACAGGTGCACCAGCCCTCTTACAGGTGCACCAGCCCTCTTACAGGTGCACCAGCCCTCTTACAGGTGCACCAGCCCTCTTACAGGTGCACCAGCCCTCTTACAGGTGCACCAGCCCTCTCACAGGTGCACCAGTCCTCATACAGGTGCACCAGCCCTCATACAGGTGCACCAGCCCTCTTACAGGTACACCAGTCCTCATACAGGTGCACCAGCCCTCTTACAGGTGCACCAGCCCTCTTACAGGTGCACCAACCCTCTCACAGGTGCACCAGTCCTCATACAGGTGCACCAGCCCTCATACAGGTGCACCAGCCCTCTTACAGGTGCACCAGCCCTCATACAGGTGCACCAGCCCTCTCACAGGTGCACCAGTCCTCATACAGGTGCACCAGCCCTCTTACAGGTGCACCAGCCCTCTTACAGGTGCACCAGCCCTCTTACAGGTGCACCAGCCCTCTCACAGGTGCACCAGTCCTCATACAGGTGCACCAGCCCTCATACAGGTGCACCAGCCCTCATACAGGTGCACCAGCCCTCATACAGGTGCACCAGCCCTCTTACAGGTACACCAGTCCTCATACAGGTGCACCAGCCCTCATACAGGTACACCAGCCGACTCGCCACCCAGTAGCACTCAGAGCGGGTGAGGCTGAGCTGTGAGCTATGTTATTGTTCAACTCGTAATTTTAGTAGACGTGTAATTTTCTTTCCTTTTTTTCACTTTTATATGCACACACAATTATTCATTTAGAATGTGTGAAAAATAAATAAAAAATAATAATTATCATAAGGTCAAAAACAGAAAGAGAATTAATATTTCTTTGTGCCAGCTGTGAGCCTTTATGGTTATTTTTCAGCACGTAATTTCGAGTAGATATATGTAACTTTCTTAACGATGGCCTTTTAGGGTCCCTAATCCCATCATATATCAGTCAACACCTGTTCATACACACTCAATCATACATACATATTGTGTGTGAGTTTGCGGGCTGAGCGGGAAGAGGGAGCAGAGTGTGGAGGACGTTGCCAGAGAGCCGGCAGAGGCAGCGTCCCAACTGGGTTACGATGCTGTGATAATTGTTGAGGCCAAGCAACCAGCATTATTGCAAATGGCAGTTGTTTTAAACTTTCAATGGTTTTATCTGTATTTATCATCTAGATTGTATAGAAATATTCTTTGAAGTGGCACAATCGTTAAATAACATGAAAAGGTAGGTGGCATGGTTTATGAATGCTGGAAAATAGGAACAAGTACTGTACTGGGAGTTGTGAGTTTGCTGCAGCCATTTGACTGACTGTGTAGGTTTATTTTTCAGTATCTTATACTAGTTTTGTATTTGTAAGAATAATACAAGACTCGTCACCATAGCCACATCCCCCCTAGTCCTCTCCTTATCACTCCAGGTCAGGGTGTCAGATATTTTGGGGTTATTTTTATGCTCTTTAAGTTCAGGTAGATACCTCCATACATATTTTTTTCCTACAGTATTTTTCATTCACATATAATATTACATACAAAATCTGCCAAAAATAACCATAAGGTCAAAAACATAAAAGGGAAAAACTTTCTAATTGTGTTTAGAGTTCACACTAAACGTGAGAGGGGAGAGGTGAGGCATTCCAGCTGCTCTGATCTGTCTGCTGTGTTTAGTGAAGTAATTGACAAATTATATTGTCCAGCAGCCAAATGGCAATACAGTTACAGTACGTTATAGTAATTTTTTATATATTGGTGTTATTTTTACTTATTCCTCACATTGATTGGTACCTGTATATATTATTACTCTATATCTTATTTCTCATAGGAGTTGGTAATTGAAGGGAATTCAGCTTCAAAGATGGTAACATTATTCATAATAACATCAGCTGTTGTGGTGGTGGTCACGGCCAAGACTTGTTGGTGTTGTCTCGCTTCAAACTATGTCTAGGATTTTACCTCGTATTTTTTAAAAGCTTCATTATTTTGTATTGTTGTGATTCAGGCTGGGCATGCGGGACCATGTGGTTCCCGCCATATATATATATATATATATATACACAGTACTCTGTATTTTTTTGAATTTTATGCATTGATTATATTGTACGACTATTACACATTGCAATTGTCTTCTCCAAATAGAGGTAGCCACAATGAATACATGCTGAGCTATCTCTTAGCTCAGGCATCTTTGAGGAAGAAACGGGGACATGAAGACTCTCAGGATGAAGACGAAGGAAACAGCAAACTTGCTCATATGTCATCAGATGCAGAAATGGAGGGAGAAGATCGACTAGAGGACATGTTTGATGAAGAGGAAGTTGAAGCATGATATCACCATCATGTATTATGAAAATTTTACATAGAACTTTTACTAGAAGGGTTGTTTTTGTAAGAGTATATTTGTCTATGCAGTATATTACAAATAAACACTACTTTTTTACTGGAATACTTACTGTATTAATTTTAAAAGAACCAAATTAATTATTTGTTCCTTGAATAAAATACTGGACAGATATTCAACAGTTTGTGTTTACCTGTAGATTCCTGACTTTTAAAAAATGCTATTTCTCTTGAAGATACAAAAATGCTCCACATGGCTCCTGTGCCATGTGTTCCAAGCTGGTGTGCTTGAAGCTAGAAGTTCAGGTTAGAATAAATATGAATACCTCCTATGTTCAATTTCCAACAGGAGCAGATAACTGGAGTCATTCCTTATGCACTTAGCAGTAAATGAGTACATATTAAATGTGTTTGCCACTGGTGGTGGAAAACCCTTTGGTGGACTAGCTAACTCTATCAAACTGGTGCTCTCCAACTAACTACTGAATGTTAGAAATCAAATTAACACTGGCCTAATCACCATGCATCATAAAAAGAAAACATTTATAAGCATTGCAAATATAAATGAACTGTATTTATTTATAGTTTGCTTTGCAAGGGTGTGCTTGTCTGAAATGTGGGGCATTGTGAGAATTTGGCCCTTGTGTTACTATTCCAAGTCCTGTACTCATTTGCCACCTGTTGTGATATATGCTAAGGTGGCACTGGCACTATCCCAGTGATTTAGAGTAAGATAGAAGTATATCAATGAACAATATCCACCTTTACATTTTGTCTCTTTGTCAGATGTTTACATTCAATATTCTGCCTTAATTAGATTACTTAAGTCTGTTCTGGATGTAGCTATCTGGCCTGTATATTCAGATCTTCATTCACTTGTGGAATATTAATTGGTACTGAAATGGGAGAGCTAGGAGCACCACTACATATACAGTACCTAGGATCCAAAATTGTACATTGCAACATTATCTACCTATTGATTATGTAGTCATCTCTCAGAGGTTTGTATGTTTAAAGACCTGACCACTGGTTTAGGTAAGCTAACTTCTATGATATACATCCAGATGTTTTGCCTTTGCCTGTTGTGTATATTTGTCTTGAACCACTTAAAAAGATGACCTCTTCTGATGCCATATTGTGGTCTGTCTTAGGCATGCTTCCTCATGATACATTCCTTATCATTTTGAAGGTCTTGATCATATCCCCATGTATCCTGTTGTACACTCTTGATAGCCTTTTGTTTACTTAGTCTTCATAACTCAACTCCTTACCTCAGCCTGAGTAACAATTTCATTATCCAAAGTAGAGTCAAACTTACACTCCGACTACCATAATTAGAGCTACATTCTCATACCGTTGCAAGTGAGAATAATGCATGAATCTTTGATAATCTGAGCCCAAAACTATGTTACTTTTTATATTAACTTGTAAAGCTAACTACTGTACAGTACTATACTTTTTTTTTTTTAGTTGACAGTACAAACCCTCCTCCCTTGCAGCTCATTGGCTCATACATAATGTTCGATCAGTATTGATATATCGGAAATAAATTTATATATAACTGTTAAGAATACCCAGTTCTGGCAGGAGGATGATCAAATCACTTGTCTTGTACAGTAGCATTATGTAACTAACAAGGATAATCATGTCACTTTCCCTGTAACATAACATTACAGTACTGTACTAAAAAGAGACAAGTCTTATCACTTTCCTGGTAGCACCAGTGAAATACAGTATTAGGGTACTTCTATAAAAAAATAAGACCAGTATATTTTAAAGTGAGTCTTGAGCAAAATTTTAATAAAAATATTACATCAAATAAATGAAAAATGTAAACTCCATAAAAAAGGTGATGAGATGTTTCTAAAATAGGACATATGACATGGATATGTACTATATGTAATCAGTATATTGTACTCTTAAATTACAAAAAAAAAAACATAACATACTGTATTTTTATAAAGTATGTGATTTAGAGATTTCACATTACATTGACAATCATATATATTTTAATGTGACTACCAAACAGGTACATCTTAATTGGCCACCCCACACCTGCTTACATGTATGTACAAGTTATACTCAATGTTGACACCTTATACAGTAAGTAGTAAACTGTGTATTACATATACCATGGAGCACCCTAGACAAGGTGGGTATCATAAACATTATTTTATAACATTGAGTTGCTGCTCAGCAATAAAAAGTATTTGTCTGGTGTTGGAAGCAGCACTGGCCATAGATACCGGTAAATCATATGAATCCTTTACCATATAAAACACAACCACCATGGGGAAACTGACGTCTAGCATTCCTATTACCAATATTCATAGAAGCTACACTAAAGGAATGCTTGTCCATCTTCTTTCTGTAGTGGTGCTCTTTTTATGGTGTAAACATGAGGCCTGTGGTTGTATATCTTTTTCTGCTTTTATTACAAATAATCTCATTATGTGCAACACTAACATAGGGGAATCACTTTTATGTACTGGACATCTTAGATAGCCTCAGTCCACTCAGCAACTATGTAAACCTTTCACTAAAGGGTAGATGCAGCAGTGAATAAAATGGCTGAGACAGAGTTACCTGTATTACTGTGCATTCTGGCTCTGCATAGTTCATCCTAATCTAACCAAATTTTATCAATTGATTACTGTGAAGGTAACTTCACAGTCTCCTGTTCATATGCCATAATTTCCATTTTAAGCCATTTTAGTTATGTTGTGACTACTGTATCTGTTCTGGTGTGTCTACTGTATTTATAATATAATTGTCAAAACCCTGGCATCCTATTTATTCTGCATGTCAGAGCCATTAGCAAGTTTCAGAGTTGACTGGCAATAGCATGACTGCCCTAAGTGCTTATTGCAGACCCATATGTAAGGAATAGTTTGTCACCCCATGTCACCTTATAACATTAACATTAATACTAATATCTAATGACCAACGGAGTCAGTGTACAAAATAACTTGATACAAACATAACAGATTATGTCCTTCCAGTTGTGGCTGTACATGAATACATTTCATGCACTCCCTAACATTTTCCAGCATAATATGGAAAATTAATTATCACCAATATCATAACCAGTTCCAATAAATAGAATCTTCTATATTTCTTACTTCTGAGAGGTAAAAATCATGAAATTAGTGTTACTGTATCAACATGTCTGTATGAGTATAGGTTATTGTAAAGCTTGTGCAGCTGTGAATAATGTGTGATTATGGTAAACTGATAGTAGACTGATACCCGTGAGCTGTGTGTGTGTGTCAACCTGCTGATTGCTCCAAGATTCAAATGTAAATTTTCTCCCTATAGCTGGTTATAGTTAGAGCAGGGATGCCAGTCCCACCAAGGCAGAGGACGACTTGTTCCTCAAAGAAATCAGGGGAATGTTTTGCATCATACTTACTCCTGAAGTGTTATGTGGAGGAAATAAATCCTAATAGAGTTGGGAGCACTGAATTTGTAGTAGGGGCCAGGTAAATGTTGAGCCTAATTGTGGGAAGGACATTAGAAGTACAGTATAGGGGAGGGAACTAACTACTGTATTGAAATTACTGAGAGTGATACTGAAGATGCATTGGGGAAGGGAGACACATTTGTTGAAATTGTGGGGATGCTTAGGGGGAACTGATGATACAGCAGTGGAGGAATAAGAATCCTGTAATTGCCAGTGCAGACACAAAACCCTTGGGATGGGGTTGGGAGGAGGCATATAGGCCATAATATTGCTGGGAGGAATACTGAAAACACAACTATTAACCATGCATGGAGGTAAACTACATTGAAATTTTTTGTGGGAAAACACACTGGGAATGCAAGGGAGAAGAGACACACACACAAGTTAGTATGAGGGAGACACTGAAAATACAGATGGGGAGGCAAAAAATTGATATGCTGTGGTGATGCAAACAGCAGTATTACTTTTCATAACATTTTGTTAAATGCCTAAATATATATATTTTTTATTCTCATTACTTACAAAACCCTAGATTGAAAGTCTACACTGTAAATTGTATGGCAACATGTAATAACCACTTAATAGAATTGTTATAAATTCTAAATCTGTGTTCATGTTCCCCTTTTTGTATTTAAAGGTAAAACTATAAAACATTTGAATAATTCCATTGGAATTTAATGTAGTAATGTATTTTATATCTTAGAACTTAATTATTTGTGCCCAGAAACTATCTCAAGTTGAATTATCATACATTTTTACAAGTTTGCATTAGGTGATGGAATCCATTTATGATAGTAACAAAACTAAATCTATTGTGCACTAGAATTCTGAAATGTCTTATACATTATTAATGATAACATTTTATACAGTTGCAAAAAGATTTGAGCAACCACAGATGTGACAGGAAACTATTTGCATATTACATAATTTCACTAATAAATTGAAATAAAGGTCATAATATCCACTGTACTTGATCAGGTTGGCAATAAAGATAAACAGATTTATATTTATCAGTACAAAAATCCATCAATCTTCCCTACACAGAACTGTACAGTACCTAAATGTAAATACTGTACCAAAGGATTAATGCTTTTGATGGGAAGAAGTAGCAAGAGTTGAAGAAATCTGGATAGGAATTGCTTCTCGTGTTGCCATAGAGGATAAGTGCCCTTGAGTTACAATTACAGTGGTGTCTGAAGTTTTGACGACATACGAAAGCCATATGTTTGCTGTCGCTAAAAAGAGCTACATAATTAGATGCATCCTGACTTCCAGATAGATGAAAAAACTACATTATTAATCTTTTAGAGCTCAGTGTTCTCAGATGAGCACCCATTGCTGCCACACATTTAATTAGTTGCTTCCTCTATAATTTAAATTAACCAAGTAATGAGATTTCATGTACAGTACAGCATTTCTTCAAATTTTATTGTCTTATAAATATCAATAATTATTATTTTTATGAGCATTTGTTTCTCTATGAATCTGTGTGTTGTGTATGTGTGTGCATCTAAAGTTAGTAAATATTTCCTTAATATAATAATAAACTATATCATAGTTTTCTCCTCCAAACAGCAATATACAGTGATAAAAACTAAATTACATACTGCCCATTATTCACTGAGACAAATGAGATATTTTCAGTTGAATTTCAGAAGATACAAAATACTGTCTTAAGTATCTATACTGTAAAGTAGCACGGTGTGGTTGACAACACACTACCAATGTTCTAACACTGTACTTAATCACATTAAAACGAGAATTCTCAATCACTTTTCATTGAATCAGTTTCTCACAGACAACTTAATGTTTTCCTGCACAGTTCAAACACCAAACAGTGCCTGAGTACCAGAAGCTTGTCATCAGCACCACTGGTTCATCATGACTCTCCCTGATGCATTTCTCCCCATCGACTATCTACAGCCACATTCCAGCACCACCATGTCATCGTAATCATACTTAAAGGTGGTGATGCCATCCTCCAGGTAGAGTAGAGAGATGGGTCCCAGGAGGGTGGGGACGCAGCAAGCACGAGAGGTGCGGTCAGGGTGGAGGGAGTGCACCAAGTTCTGCACCACTGCATGTTTTGTGGGGCTCAAGTGTGACGCCAAAGGGTAGAAGCACTTGCCGCTGCACTGATTTGCCTGTTGGGGAGTCAGAAGAATGAAAGTTAATTTTTATGCAAGAAATTTGGCCATACAATATTTACCTCTAAGAAATGTAAATACCTGTTTGGAAATGTACTATATGTATACTGCTTTCTATTACAATTGGGACATAATCTCACAATAGAACTCAACCTCCAAAAAAGTTTGCCCTGGCAATTTTATGAACTTGTGCCTTCCTTGAGGTGGGCATCCCTTAGTTCCAGGTATGAACACTCGACTAATGTCCTCTGAGGTGTTTATAGAATTCTATTGTCACCCTTGCTTATCTAAAGTATTAGCCAGGCATGTGCAGGCATTTTAATCCCTCTGGGTACCTGAGGTGACAAAGTGTAGCCACCAGTTTGGTGGCCCTCCTTTGGACATTCTCAATCAATTGACAGTCACTAGCATATTGTGGGGACCAGACAGGATAAAAGTTTTCCAAATGTATAAGACCTACTACTGTAGTTTATTTGCTTGATTTACCTTCTCACAATGGTCCCTGAACTTCAGTTTGTAGTGGAATTCTCCCCTACAAACGCTGTTTGTCGCTGCCTAGCCGACCCCACCAATTCCCCAGTGTATGCCTCGTGGTCTAGGTCAACCAGCGCCGCCATACACCACGGAGCGGGGGTCAACTGCTAAGCCACGCCTACCCCCGCTATTTAAGACCTGACCTCGTGGTGATCTGTCTCTCCTTCTACCTACACCAACCAGCCAGCAACACCTCCTCCGCCGCTGCCTGGCGGCCTTCGCTCCTCCGCCTGCCTGGCGGTACTCTCTCCCGCTGGCGAGCCGCTGGCGAGCACAGCTGTCCTTCTCTGAGCGTCCTCACCAACCAGCTCTCTCTACATCACGCTTGTAACCATGCTGCCTTCCCAGCACCAAGCTGCATTGTACATCCAATACAACATGTATATAGAGAGCACATTGTGAGTTTCCTTTCTCCATCCCATCCTGAGTGTGAACCAAACATCTTGAACCCCACAAATGGTGACCCCGGAGATTCGCACTCACACAGGATGGAGGAGAAACTGATCACGCTCCCAGTCTTCAAGCAACATGGAAGACTGGCTTATCCACCCAGAAGCAGCTCTCATCGGCTCTACAACTACTGTTTCTACACCGCAGGTTAGACAACCTAGAGCAGCTCTGCTACTCTAAGCAGACACCAGCTCCTCTTCCTGCCCCAAGCACCACGTCCTACCGACCCCAGCACACCCGTCCTGCCTCAGACGCCGACCCCGGCCCAGCAGTAACCCCTGCCGCCCCTGATGCGGCCTCTGTTCCTGAGTGCGGACCCACACACCCCTCTTTTCTCCCTCAGGTACTCCCTGCTAATGTCCTGCACCCTGCTGCTGTCGTGGACCCAGCTGCTGTCACGAGCCCTCATCCGCTGCTGCTGACACAGCCCCTGCTCCTGACCCAGGTCCACACACCCCAGCAGGCGCATCTGTCGACTCTGTACCTGCCGTGAGGGAAGCACAACATTCATCGCCTCCACACACCCTTATTCTCCCTCTCTACTCCCACAGATATTGTGTATCTAGACAGTTGTATCCAGCGACCGGCTCATCACGCCATCGCCGTTGTCTCACATGAGGCACGCACCGCCCGTTCTGCCTCACATGTGCTATGCAACCCTGCAGACAACAAGTCTCCTACACAGCCTGGAGGGAAGGGGGAGTATTGTAGTGGAATTCTCCCCTACAAACGCTGTTTGTCGCTGCCTAGCCGACCCCACCAATTCCCCAGTGTATGCCTCGTGGTCTAGGTCAACCAGCGCCGCCATACACCACGGAGCGGGGGTCAACTGCTAAGCCACGCCTACCCCCGCTATTTAAGACCTGACCTCGTGGTGATCTGTCTCTCCTTCTACCTACACCAACCAGCCAGCAACACCTCCTCCGCCGCTGCCTGGCGGCCTTCGCTCCTCCGCCTGCCTGGCGGTACTCTCTCCCGCTGGCGAGCTCTCTCCCGCTGGCGAGCCACAAGCTGTCCTTCTCTGAGCGTCCTCACCAACCAGCTCTCTCTACATCACGCTTGTAACCATGCTGCCTTCCCAGCACCAAGCTGCATTGTACATCCAATACAACATGTATATAGAGAGCACATTGTGAGTTTCCTTTCTCCATCCCATCCTGAGTGTGAACCAAACATCTTGAACCCCACAAGTTCATTGTCAACATGCTCTCAGATCTTTTCTCATTTGGTCTCCATTAATGATGTTTCTTTGTTACATAGTAAGATTTACTTTATAAAATTAACAAATTGTGTCCTTCGGGTGTATTAAATAAGGAAATTGTAGCCTTTTGGTATATTCAGCAAATTGTGCCCTTTGGGGCACTCCAATTAGACAATTGAGTCCTTCGATATACCTGTATATGAAGTTAGGAAATTGTGTCCTTCCAGCATATTCAGTTAAGAATCCAGTATATTAAGTTAGAATTTTGTTTTCGGTTATACAGTAAAACATCCATTTAACAGACATCAATGTTATGCTTGTACAGTAGTTCGTTATATGGATTGCAATCTCCCAAATACTCTGTTATATGGAGGTTTCACATCTAACGAAGGTTTATAGAAAGGACTACAATCTCCCATATAGTCAGTTAAATGGTGGTTTCACTGTATAGTTAGTTATTCAATCAGAAAATTTTAATTCAAGCAAATTCAGTCGGGGAATTGTGTCCTTCAGGTATAGTTAGAACTGTGTCCTTCAAGTACTGTACCTGTATATCAAGAGCGGTGAAAAATGCTCATCCCTTTAGAGGGCAGTGTAGGCCACAGGTATTTTATCATGGTTAATGCCAAACGACTTTATTTAGCTGAGAGAAACCCCTGCCCTCTAAAGGGTTAAAACATATCTAGATTAAAGAGACTAGAATGTAGATGGAAAGTCGGCCAATATTAAAAATTTCCACCTTTTATGTATTCATTTATATATTTTTTTCAGAACTTTTGGAGTGTTATCCTAAGAATCCCGTGGTAGGTTAAAAAATAGGAAAGAGGTCTTGTTCGCGGTACTTTTTTAACAGTGATGTTTGACATTGTAAACAGCTGGTTACTGTAGTGTTGAGCGGTTGACGTCACCAGCCTTAAAGTACATGAATCTCGTGTAAGCTAAGGTGTAATATTCTTAGTGTTACCCATTTAGAGTGAAGTGTACTTTTTTTCTTCCCATACAGGGCAGGCACTATAGGATAAAGGATGTTTTCACACCACGGCGATTATGGAAAATCAGGGAAAAACAAGAGACATCCTAACGTCGGAAAACCCTACACCAGAAGACTAGAATTCGCCGAGTTGATTTACTGTTGATCATGATCATTTCATTGATGGTAAGTAACAACAGATAATTTTTCTTTTTTATTAGGTACAGTAGACCAGTTGATGTATTTAGAATTGTTTTTACAGAGGGAGAAACTTGGGGAGGGATACTGCGAGAGCGTCGGGAATACAGGACTGCTGATTTATGTCTATTTTGCTGTAATGGACAATGTTTCAACCTGGTTCAGCATTTATAACTGTAACATATTCTACTTGACGAATTCCACGTGCGTATTGGTAAACTTTTTTTTTTCAGTACCCACAATGATTAATCTTTCCCTAGACAAGCAACAGTGTGGAAGTAAGCCTTGAAGAAGTTCAGTTTACTCAGTATAATTAAATAACTAAACATAAAGATTGCATTTTTTATAAACATGACATGTTAAGATTTTAAAGCACTAAGAAAACTTTTAAGAACCATTTCTTTCTTGCAAACCAAAACACATACACGTGGACAAACTGTGTCAGCCTCCGCAAGCCAACACATCGATTAAAGTACAAATTCCTCCATCACCCATCGATCTGCCAAGTTTTGGAACAAACCTGCTACACTCAAGGCCTATTTTCAAGCGTTTTTAGTCATCGTTAAGTCTCTCAGATTGCATCAAAGCTTGAAAATCTCTCAAAAAGGTTAAGTAATTTTTTGAAGAAAGAGCAACAGAGCCTACGTGGGCGCCCGAGTTAACATTACCAATCACATAAGTTTCACTGAATAATGTGTTTTGCTCATTTCATTTGATTTATAATAATCCTCATTCTTCGCCATGTTTTTTCAATGACTTTATGCACCCATATACCAATGTTTCGCTAAATAAATAAATGTAATCATTGTTTACTACTGATCAGTCATGGCTGAACTGAACCGCGCCCTTGGGCTTTCGTAAATGTATGGTGACGGGGGCTCATCTCCGTGATGGCTATTTGGCATTTTGACGACCATTAGTTCAATGAATAAGTTCAATGGACCCCAATTGTAATATCTGGGTAAGATTGAGACCCGTTACGATTGGGCAGATATGACCACTTACCGTAATTCCGTAGGTTAACACAGGAGGGGCTAAGTGGAGAACGTTTGCATGTGTGATTCAATATACATGTTGTAGTATATTGACTTTTAACACAGGCTATAAGTATTCCTAAAAAAAAAATCTTGCTACCGGTGGAAGTTATATATATATATATATATATATATATATATATATATATATATATATAAACGGACACCCTTCTACACCCTGCTTAATTTGGGTCAGGACTTGGTGAAAGACTGTGGAAGCTTTGGGCACATTTAAAGATAATAGCGATAAAAGTAGTATTCATAATAATAAAATAGTAAAATCTACCCAAAGTAGTGTGTAACCCTTCAATTTCTGGGTAAAAACTAGTTTCCCTGTTTCTACCGCACCTAGCTTAGAAATGCCGCTCCAACTACGGTAATACTACTACAGTACCACCATAGCTTAACATTGCTCTCGCCACACTAGCTAGTTTTTTGTTTCCCACACAACGCATTCCAACCTGTACTACTTCACCAGATGTTGCCAACTTGCCATTATGCATAATTCAGTCCTACCTTTATTATACCCCAGTTCTATCCTAGTACTACTGTACAGTACTATACCTAACCAATACCGCTATTATCACACTTCCTATGGTACTTTTACTACACCGAGGCTGATACTTTTACTACCATACCTAATTGTTAATATCACACCGAGTCTGGTATTGGTACTTCCACGCTTAACAAAATAAGGCTATTACCTGACTTAAACTAACCTAACCTAATTAAATATAACATCGTAACCAATCTCAAACGTAACCTAAGCAAACCAAACTTCACCAAACCATTTTCAGTAACTTAACATAACATAACTAATCCCTAACTTAATAAAGTAATATAACCTATCCCAAACCTAACTTGATAACATAAACCAACTTAACCAAACCAAACTAATCCACCGTAACCACATCATGGATTTTAATAGTAAAATTCATGTCAGGTCTGGTGATTGAGTGTCCATATATAAAACTTTTGTGGGAGTAATGTGTATCAATTGTGGAAGGTCGTATTGTACCTCATAAGACGGCGGGGCGATGATCCATTTGTCCCAACCGATGTCTTTGAAGTCTACTCTCAGGGGCTTCTTTTTGCAACCGTTCTTGGCCCGCCGCTTGCGTCCCCGGCGCCCTTTACCCCCCCGACCTGTAGGAACGTCAGAGTACTGTTGTAGTATGGCTTGATTAGATAACTTGCCTGGTGTAGCACGTTACCGCTGTGAGGTGTGTTGACATAAGGTGCCACACGTCAACATGCATTATAAGTTAACACAAAATGTAAAATTTTAACACCGATGCAGTACAGTATATTAACACTCAAATATGTTAACACACAGGACGATATGTTAATACTGCACAATATGATCAAATAAAATTCAGCATAATACAGTAACCTTCAATGCAATATCATACAGCTCAGTACGTTAACTCCTAATGAATAATATGTGAATGTAGAGTAACAACCATCCAATAAAGTATGTTATCACAGTGCAGTATGTCAACACCTGGAGCAGTATGTGTAAAAATTGGGACTCAGTTTTCGAAGAACCAGATGAATACTGTGAGACTTCAGTATCCTCGGGGGACATATTCAAACAAGTGTGGTGATAATTAAGGATTGTGGTGTAGGACTTGAGGGACTGTAGGATGACAATAACTAGTCCTGAGCTGATATTAAGTGATGATGTTTATACACAGACCAGAGTTTGTTGTGTTTTGGCTGGGTGACAGTATACGGTGCTAGTAAATCACCAAAAGTATGAGGGAATGTTTCATCACTTACAAAGCTCGATGTACTAACTGTTAAGTAGCTGTATGTTTTAATCACAAGTGTATGGACGTTATGATGGATGTTCCAAGCAAAGTAGATTCCAGTGTTCTCTACGGCTCTGTCATAATGGCATTGGTAAGGTGGTAGAGAAGGTGTGAGGTGCGGTATTACCTTACCTCAAAGCTAAGAGGTAAGGAGGTGGAGGAGGTATGAGGCAGCAGCGTGAGGTGCAGCAACTAACCTTACCTCCGAGCTAAGAGGTAAGGAGGTGGAGGAGGTATGAGGCAGCAGCGTAAGGTGCAGCACTAACCTTACCTCCGAGCGAATTATGAGCTTGGCTTGGGAGGCCGAGGACCTCCATGTCGCCCTCCCAGATCATGTTACTCTCCTCCTCCTGTAGCTCGGCCGCGTTCCTCCGACGCCTCGACGATCCTTGCTCCTCCTGACCTGTCGTTGAGCGTCGTCTTCTGCGCCTCTGAGGGTTACAACGGAGATGCCAATGTTGATGTTGTGTTATCTCACTTCTGCGTCCCCTACGTGTCTGTATGTCGATAGTCGTAGTGTTGTATTTGTTGTATTTTACACATCAATCTTGCTGGTGAGCGCTATTCAATTTATACTCCATTTTCACTAATTTAACTATGATGTGAGTCACTGATAATGTATGGTACTTCACTACAGGCAACAACAAAACACCCAACCACCTCCTAACATTGCTAATGCAGTTGTGTATTACCCTCGACTTCTACACCAAGGTAAACTCTAGCCATATACATCTTCAGTCACCACGCCACATTCTCGTCCACACCCAAACATAGATCAGCGCAGATAATGACCCTATACCCTCGTACTGAATCCCTAACTATAGCTATATTCATCCCATCTTTCTTCCATCATTGAGGTGACACTTGTACCTTCATTTGTTTTCATCCCGTCAACTCCCGTTAATCTACTATTGAGGCCATCCTCCCCAACCATGATCTGCTCTAACTCGAGGTTTCACTTCTCCAAAAAACTTCACCTACCTGGTACCTCACCTATCATACTGTCTGGTACCTCACCTATCATACTGTCTGGTACCTCGCCTATCATACTGTCTGGTACCTCACCTATCATACTACCTGGTACCTCACCTATCATACTACCTGGTACCTCACCTATCATACTGTCTGGTACCTCACCTATCATACTGTCTGGTACCTCGCCTATCATACTGTCTGGTACCTCACCTATCATACTACCTGGTACCTCACCTATCATACTACCTGGTACCTCACCTATCATACTGTCTGGTACCTCACCTATCATACTATCTGGTACCTCACCTACCACACTGTCGCCTCACCTTTTGCTGGTGGTGGTCGTGGTACTCGTGGGAGATCATAAGGTTGAGTTCCTGTCGGGCCTGGTGGCGGGTCCTGACGTTGGAGTACAGCAGAAGGAGGGGTTCACTCTCCGTCCGGGGCGCCGTGGCCACGTCCATGTCCCCGCCTTCACCTACCGTCGAGAACACTGACTCTATGTGTATCTGTTGGGGGGGAAAGGAGGAGGTAGTGAGAGAAGTGGTGATGGATGGAGAGAGAAAGGAAGAGAGAAAGATAGGAAAACAGACGGAAAGAGGTGACAGGATAAATAAAAAGGGGGGACAAAGGTAATGAGTAAAAGAGAACGTGATTGTGAGTTTTTTTTTTCCTTTTTTTTTTATAATTGTTGAACATTAATACGACGACCTAAAGCATCTGTGCCGAATCAAAATATAAACCTAGGTGATCTCACTAGACTCTAAAATTATGAGGTTAGTAAATTTTATGAATCTTCCCTCCGTTTAACTACAGTACCACAGAATTATTGCAGAAGAAAAAAAAGAAGAGAGTTACCTGTAGGAGCTGGGGTGCGTTGCGGTGGGAGAGCCAATACTTGACGGCGGATGTCACATCGAAGGTCTCCCAGGCGTTGTGTAACTCGTAGATGTCTCTCTCGCACACTGTGACCTGTACCCCGTGGCCACTGGTCTCCCCCTCCGTGTCTCTCACCACCAGGCCCTCCGGCGTGATGTCGTCCAGGCTGATACCCCGTTGTGTCTCTATCACCAGACGGACGCGCCGCTCCACGCCTGTGAGAGACACAATCAAGATGGTAATGTTGATAGGAGGATCACGCCACGCTTTTATACCCCACCTCTATGGTTACTACTGCAAGGGGTGACGAAGCCATGGATTTATTTGTGCAATACCACCACCACCAACAAAAAAGACTCGAACCATAAAATATTACGGTGCGGGTTTGACCTTGGTTCAGGTTATCATTTAGGGTGCAGTGAGAAGTGAAGGCGGTCGAGTGGAGTGCCGGCCACACTCTTCCTGTATACCGAAGCCTTAGTACCGTATGGACAGCTTAGGGTAGTTTTGAATATGTAAGAGGTAGCTTAGTCCAGGTTATGTTACAAGTAGGTTAGGTTATGATACAAGGAGGATAGGTAAGGTTATGTTACGAGTTGGTTAGGTTCAGTTTAATTATAATCTGGGTTAGGATACAAGGATTATAGTCCCGGTAAAAATATCTCCCAGCTGTGTAAATACTTGTTGATGAATAAGTTGTCCATTTAATTATTTGTCTAGATTGTGTGGCTTACTGTAATCCTCTTCTCATATTGCGGGTAATAGTGTGACGCAGCCAGTACAGTGTGTAGAGGCCGTGTACATTATACCCACTGAACCTCCAGGTTACGTGTTGTTGGTGGTTGGTGGTGAGATTATATTCAGGGAAATGTGTGTGAATGTACTATGTGCTCTCAAGATTTTCTACTTAAGTGATGCTCCAGTGTGTGTGTGTGTGTGTGTGTTGCTTAACTGGTTGTGTGGTCAGGTCACTTGCTTGTCCCACATTACCAAGGTTGTTAAGAATGATCTCTAGCTTTGCCCTAAACAAATTAAGGTAAAAAGAAGACATTTTCTTAGTGATTGTGTCGTTGTGTGTTGTCTCCTGCTACAGCTGACTGGGGAGCAATGTAGGCTCTCTCTTATGGCGGCCACCTGCCCTTACTAGATATATAATCACGTGGTGCCAAGGCCCCGAGACGCTCATCTGGTGCACCTACTTGCCAACAGTAACATTCACTCTCGCGGTCAATCTAAGAATGGCAGTGTTTCATACCAAGTACCGAGGAAACAGTAATTCAAAACTGATATGGTTTGTCTTAAGTTTGTTTTTGTGGTTTATTTATTGTTTCAAAATAACCAAATTGTATATTTACTCACAACGGCAGGACCGTGTGAGTTGGACGGTTAATGTTGTATTTACATCTGTCTCTGAATGTTGGTGCAAATCTGGCGAACGGAAAAAGTTCATACTTCATGCTTAACACACACACATACACACACAGTTTAAGCCATTGAAAAGTCACAAAGCCGAAACCATTTAGGTAACCTCCCTATTTAAACATGTGCGGAGAGATGGGGTCACGCAGCAGCTGACAAATTGCTGTCTCGGTATTCACCTATCAAAATATGAGCTTGTCCGCCGGGCAAATGCCAGGCACATGGACATGAAAGATCACTTGCCCGACCCTTATTCCGGGCAGCATAATCCCGCAGTCTATTGCTATACGGGACGGCACCATTAGAAGTTTCAGGTAATCAGTGCGCGAGCTAACCTCAGAGCGAGTCAGGAAAGAGAAAACTGGATTTTTTCATGGAAGACTTTAACAAAATCATATCGATTCGCACATCTACAGACAAACTCGAAACTCTCACACTTCCACACAATACATTAACGATGGACCTTCCGTGACCCACTTTTGACTCTCTGGTCTTCTGTACAATATTTGATTTATACGAGTACTGTAATTCAATGATCAGCTGGCTTTTTATTTTTTTAGTTCGCGACAGTGTTATGCTTATTACCCCGTTTATTATGTTTATGTAGCCTGCAGTATTGCTCAAGTGCCTGGCTGAACTGTGTGGCGTCGCCCAGAGGATATGGTATTAGTGATGGAGCTATTTTGTGTACATAAAATATGCGCTTTGTATCAGTTTTATTGTTTATCGTAACAGTTTTTTTTATTATTAATGTCTGCAATTTGAAATTCGTTGGAAGTAGGCTCACCCTCTTCTTGCTAAATCTTTAACAATGAACCGCACCGTTTATATATTTTGGAAACCTTTTATAACGAACTCGTTTAAAGCGAAGGAGATAAAGCAAGATAAGTAATCGCCACTTGGATTAAGGCTGCTCATGTGTGTGTGTTGTATGTAGTCGGTTTGTTGTTGTTGTTGTGTAAGGGCAAATATTAAATCCGTGGTGTTCCCAACAGCTACTTTGTTTTCATAGTAAAAAGATCAGAGCTTTAAATACGCAAGGTCACCACTGCATTTTGAGGCAGTGTTGGGTCAAAGACTTTCTGGTAACTGAGAGAGAGAGAGAGAGAGAGAGAGATAGAGAGAGAGAGAGAGAGAGAGAGACTTACCGATGTAGGCGTACTGATCACGGGTGATAAGGGCGTATAGTCTGAGGGTGGCTGCCGTGACTCTCTCCCGGCGCGGCACCGTCAGGTTGAACTCAAGTGTGTGGATTCGAACCTTAGATCCTTCTGCACTCCCTAGCGGATCTGAAACACCGAAGAAAAGAAAGGTAAAGATAGAATAACACGTAATAACGAAATGTAAAGCTAGAATAACACGTAATAACGAAATGTAAAGATAGAATAACACGTAATAACGAAAGGTGAAGATAGAATAACACGGAATAACAAAAAATAATCTTAGAATAACACTTAACAAGGAGAACCATCACAGAATACAATAATCTTACGGCATTATAACTACACATATAAGTATATTGCATTACAAGTATAAAGTCAATTAGTAAACAATTCACACTTTTAATTAAGCGTTGTAAGTAATGGCATCAAGCTACTGAGGCAGTTTGTAAGAAGATGGGTTTAAAGCGACTAAGTTACCACCTATGATAGACTTATTGTACCAGTAGTGTTGTATGAGTTGATTTGGTGAGTTTGTATGTTATTAAGTATTTGAAGGGACTTAAGTAACCATGGAAGATAATATTGTTCCTTCCCTGCAGTAGTCATCTCGTAAGACTTGGGTGCTGTGAGGGAAGCTGGTCTGATCTCTTCTTTAATACGACACCCGAGGTGTTTGTTCCCGGTACATGCAAACACACACACACACACACACACCTTCACCCTGTATGCTGCATTCAGACGCTCTCTCCTGGGTGGGGGGAAGGTTGTGTCATGGCCTAAGGAAAAGTAATCCCGCCATTTTTATCTGACAGTGAGATATTTCCCAACCATTGTAGTTACCTGATAAAGTCACTCGCTTAATGAAATTTAAAGTTTTTTTTTTGTTAATTGGACCCCTATAGATGTGCACTTATGAGATTTAGTGATGGTAATTTTGTAATGCCTTCCGTAAGCCTGTCAGGGTCCGCCTCTCACTGTCCTGCTCTTACAATAAAGTATTTATATAATTACTGTACTTGGTTCAGAACGCATGTTCGAGATACATTTTGTGTTCCACATTTAAGAAGTTTCCTTAATAGTTCGTTCATGGCCGGTCTTAATACTATAAAGGCGTAATATAACGTTAGAATTAAAGAGGGTGAATTAAGTTTCGAAATAAATACTGTCGTTGTAAAATCTGGTGTGGGTCTGATGTACACATACCTGCCCGGCGATATAAGCACTTTCACCTTCCGTATTTATGTAGTTCAGTTTTAATTATTTAAGAAAATTGTAACTAAACTTATACCGTAAAGTTCACGTCCTCAGGTCTGATACTAAATATTGCAGCAGAACAGTTTACGAGGGAGAGGGAGCGATGTAAGACGCGGTGAACCTCGGTGTGAGATCCAAGGTCTCATATAATATATAATTGACACCTTGGAGATGTAGCTCCTCCCCCACAACACACCATCACTATCATGGGTTAATTGGTCAACGGGACTTGGTCTTAACTGGCCCCAATCTTACCTAATGAGCACCAATCCTAATGGTTAGGTGAGGTAAGGCTAGGGAGGGTGGAGGCCACCACACTTGGCTGTCTGCTCACACACAATAGTGACTTTGGCTGCTGACCTCAATTTGTAATATATAAATCGTTGCTGTATCCCATAATGGGCTCACAGGGTGTTACTGCCTCACCTGCCGCCTCCACGCCCCTCTTGTCTTTGTGGTAAAATGATTTTCTCAACAATTATTTAAAAAAACCTTCAGGGTCAAGTCACCTCCACGACTTAAGAGGAACTGGCATAGGGTTCCACATGTGAATAACACAGCAACGAGTGTTTAGCTTAACACCTGTAACACACCTGCTTCAGTAGTGACGTCAAACATTATTGGGCTCTGTTTATTGGGATTTATTTATATGAGGAACTTATATTCAATGATTGATGGTTGGCAGTTTAACGATTGTTGTCACTTGTTTGGAATTGTAAGGTGCTTTTGTTTAATTTTATATTTATATTTTATTAAATTTATTTTGATCTTGGCATTTTCTTCGCTCTCTTTAATTTCATTTCGTACACTTTTATTCGATTGAAAATATCTTATAATTACAATGAGAACTGAGTCACATTTCCATAACTCATGAATAAGCAGACATAAACACAACACATACGAGTAACACGCCGCAGTTACTCCTCACGAACACACTACAGTTATTAAAGTTAGCCAGTGACGTCTCTCTCTCTCTCTCTCTCTCTCTCTCTCTCTCTCTCTCTCTCTCTCTCTCTCTCTCTCTCTCAATAATAATCGACACCACCAATCACAATAACTTTTCTACATCCTCACCAAAGTATCATCTTAAATTCACATCACTCGTGTGTTTACAAAATAACTTAAATTTTAGAAGAATATAAAGCGAAGCACATTAATAAAAGAGAGAAGCTAAAAAATAAGAAAAACCCAGGTAACAGGAAAACTGAATCTCATGAATAAAAATACCCATATACTGTCAGCTCCTTGGCAACGTCTTATTAAATCTTCCACAGACATCTCTTAGCAACCTGGGTACATTGCCTCACAAGTACAGGTTCGGAAGATAAATTTTCTAAGTCACTGGAGATGTAAAAATTCACCTGATTGAGTTTTTATCTAAATTCCGAAGTAAAATAGCTACTGTGCTAGAATAGCATCAATAAAATAGCTACTGTACAAGAATGTCATCAATAAACTAGCTACTGTACAAGAATATCATCAATAAAATAGCTTCTGTACAAGAATATCATCGATAAACTAGCTACTGTACAAGAATAGTATCAATTTTATACTGAGACTCTACCTTAACTAGATTTGTTTGTTCACGTGGCATTACTTTTGGAGACATAGTTAACATACAGTACATCATCCTGGGAAAAAATCTGTCCATTTATTTTGTTCGGTGCTAACTAAACTAACATTAAGTTTCTTTTAACCTAACCTAACCTATTAACCTAATCCAAATACAGTAAAATGAATCAAATCGTATCTAAAACTGTACACAAGTCAACAAAACGGAATCTACTGACACTAATTTAACCAAACGTAGTATAATTACTATCGTACCTTGATATAATTCGAATTAACCCACCCAGGTACATAATCGGTAGGTCATAATAAGGGTAACCTGTACTACCTGTGTGCGCCGTGTAAGGTCCATTAATTATCCAGCGGGTCCCTGTGTGTCGGGGTGTCCACTCGATGTGTATCACCACCACCACTGTTTTTATGTCTGGACCTTTGTTTATAAATCACCGCTCCAGCTCTTGTTTTATATCCAAGCCTTTGTAGTGTTTGACCATTAATAATACTAGTAATAATAATAATAATATACTTCTACAACTACTACTACTACTACTACTACTACTACTACTACTACTACTACTACTACTACTAATAATAATAATAATAATAATAACTACTACTACTACTACTACTACTACTACTACTACTACTACTACTACTACTACTAATAATAATAATAATAATAATAATAACAACAACAACTGGACTGTACTGGAGCAAGGTGTTAGCTCACGCATGACGACATCTTCAAACTCGTGGCGTTGCCCTTTGACACTCTGACCCTAAAACACAACTGCTCTCAAGGCTACCATGGTGAATATACCTCTTATAAACCAGGTATGAATATGTGTGTCTCTATTCTCTTATTATGCTACTGACGTTTATAGTTACTGAAAACATAGAGATAATAATAGTTAAAATAATATTTGTAATGAAAATAATGCATACAGTATCGTGAGTATTATATCATTTATGGGCTTGAGATTAATAGTAATTATTTATTGTTCAGGACAGGAGATGGTCGTTCATTAATACAACTACTATTATTATTTTTACTTATTTGGTTACTTATCTTAGTCATTTTTGTTCTGGGTGAAGGCGGTAGTGTCAGGATTCATAAAGGTTCGTGTTATAAACTTTAACTCTCGTAAGTGAAGATGTAGGAAGGTGCCTTAACTGGTTGACTTGAGTTTAAGAGAGAAAAAAACATTCAGAAATAATCACACTGAGACTCTACCTTCTCTAATAAACGTTCACTACATCACAATGAGACTGTCCGTTCACTAGATAATCACATTGGGACATCATAGATACGTTCACTAAATAACTAACTTGTTGCCTTATCTTAAACTAATGACTTACTCTCACTATTAACATTAACATCTTCAGTTATATGGAATTAATCGCGCGAACCCTTAAGACTCTGAACCCTGGTTAAGGTCTGTATATGTCTTCATTCGTGTGTGTGTGTGTGTGTGTGTGTGTGTGTGTGTGTGTGTGTGTGTGTGTGTGTGCGTGTGTGTGTGTGTGTGTGTGTGTGTGTGTGTGTGTCTGTGTGTGTGATTAATAGCTACTAAAAACGAATTGTCTAATGGTTTAACTGCACAACATTAAGGCCTCGTTATCGAACACTACATAATTCAAATGGAATAAGATATACTGTGTACGCCTTTTAAATGCCGCCTGATATATGTGACTGGATGGTAATTATATACTTAGGCAATCGTGTTGTAGGCGGGTGTGGTTATTATAGTGGTGTGTGTGTGTGTGTGTGTGTGTGTGTGTGTGTGTGTGTGTGTGTGTGTGTGTGTGTGTGTGTACAACCACGTATCATAAATCTGTTACATTTCTGCCGCTTACGCCACACACACATTTACGCACCTTTGTATGTACGCAGTTTTACCCGCATCTCAGGGTAATTTTTATAATTATTTTGATAGCCATCTTTGTGCTGTATCTTAGTTGAAACAGGGTCGTTATCGCATCGCCAATAAGTGGAAGCAAATTGTACGAACCATAAAGAATCCATCATTTTGCCGTAGTTTCAGTGAGCCAGTTGTCTCACCACCAGGGTATTTATGAAGCATGTCGGTCCCTTTAAAGTTTGTGGAGTGCAGAGGGAAGGTAGGAATGTAAAGAACAAATTTTATTGATAGTTTTGATTCTATCAGCAACAAGGGACTGGTGTTCAAGGTTACGGTATACCTAAAAGGGCCATTATATAATTGACAGACTCCTCAACTGTGTCAGGATGTTATGTGAGTATGGCTGGGAAAACTTGGGTGTACCAACTACAAGCATAGTGC